GACTCTCTGTGGTTGTTAAAAATCCCGGGTTTAACCCCGGCATCCTGGCCAAATCTGACCACTGGCCTCAGTCCATCCCCATATTCCAATTGGCTTTATCTCTGTCTCTTCTCCAAAAAAAAGGAGGTGTGTGGTGTGCCGTCTGGTGCAAAATGGCTGCCATCGCGTGATCTAGGTGGCTGCTGCACACTGGTCCCCCCCCATTGTGTCAAGCCTGGTTTATACTTCTGCGTCAAGTGACCGGCGCGTAGCTGTGCATTTATACTTCTGCGCGCTGTCTCTGTTGGTCTGCATTAACACTTCCGAAACGCTAGTGGGCAGTGAGGTGTAAATGTTTCTCTGTGTCGAGTTTTTTCGCTGCTGTTTTGCTTTTCCTGAACACTTCCGAGATGTACAAGTGGCTCAAACTCGCTCATTTTGAGGCAGGAACCGGCGGACGTGCAATAACTTTAAATATGAGGTAAACACAAAACAAAACTTTCCATCCGGAGCTCCTTCACGGGACTCCACACTTATAAACAATCGCTACATTAGGCTCGCGCCATTCGCGCGGCTCCCGGTCCCGCCCAGACTCGTCAGCGCTACCAAGCCGACCAATCACAGAGCTTGCGCTAAGCGTTGTTGCGACGTGTAGTTACATTTTTGAGAGGTGCACGTCAGTGACGGCGACGGCCACGACGAAGGGCTATGCGTCAGCGCCCTAGCATATGCCGGTGTTTGACGCAGAAGTATAAATCAGCCTTAAAGCGCTTTGAGTGTCCAGAAAAGCGCTATATAAATGTAAGGGATTATTATTATTAATTATTATTATTAAAAACATTTCCATTCAATAAATATGCAAATAATATGTGATGCTCAAATGCGCTTGGGTAGCTGAAATGCCGGTGGTGCTGCCTTGATAAGAGCAGAGGAGTGCTGCTATGCTGCCCTATCAAAGTGTTCCTCTACTACATCTGTGTCTCCCAGACACGGATACTACTCCAGACAGTAAAGTGTCGCCCAATATTGAGGCAACTCTCACCTCAAAGGGTGTTAGTTTAGCATCCCCTGCTCCCCCGCCTGTTCGCTCCACACTTTGACGGTGCGCCGCTGTTCTCCTCTTAACCTGCACCTTTACATCGGACCATTTCTTTTGTTTTGTTTAGCATTTATATGCTACCTCTTGTAAAAATTGTACAAAAATATGGCATTAATTATCAGTGCTATGCTGACGACACACAGATTTATATTAGTAGATCTCCTAATCCAGTGGTCCCCGCCCGGTACCGGTCCATGGAACAATTAGTACCGGGCCATAGATATATACACTAGATATCGCATAGAGACCCTGAGCATGCGTCAATAGCGCCGCCACATTGGTACAGTGCTCCCAGGACAAATGTCATTCAACCGCACTAGTCAAGACAGAGTTATTACGTGAAGATGCGGGACTTTAGCGCTGTCTACGGGTGTAGAAACGAGCAAACAAAGAAAACAAAGCACAAAGGCAGAACATTTCATAGGTAATATTAAGTTTTTTTCTGTTTTTGTATGTTCTGAACTTTTGTGCTTATCAGGTAACGTTATTGATGATAACAGTCACTGCATTCACCATAAGACAAATAAGCTCCAACTCGCACTAAACACTCGGCTTATGCTAGTTTTGTTGAATAAAATCAGCGCTACCCTGTAGCAAGATGGTGGCACTATTGATGCATTCCGTCCAATAGACAACAATAGGCCAGGCGACATCTAGTTTATATATCTATGGTACCGGGCCACATAAGAAATCATAAATTATTTATGTAGAAAACATTCCCCCCGCGACTTGGTTTCTTCCACTCACCCCCGCCATCTCACGTGAAATGGACTATGCCAAAATCCACCACGGAGCTGGAAGAACGATAGAATATAGCGCAGTGGTGGTTGTTGATAGTTTAAAGTTATAAAACAGGTATTATAGAGTGCAAATCAGCAGAGCATTTAAGGATTGTGCATATATGTGTGCGTGCATCGCTAAGTAAGTACATGAAATCATTGCAATATGTATCTATATGGAGTTTCACATAATCATGCTAATTATGGCTGTAACATGCCAATGCATACATTTAATTCGGCTATACGGTTGTATTATTGTCAATATGTTTGTCTGTTGAAATGTTTGGGACAGATGTTATGTATTTGATGCATATAAACCTTGATTGAAACCGAATCAGACTGCGAGAGTGCAACTAGCGCATGCGCACTGAGTTGTTCATGATTAACCTGGATGCACGAGTGCAGCAGCTGTGTTCACGTGAAGAACTGAAGAATTTTGCTTACCCCATTGGCAGATTATTTAGCTTGATTCAAGGAAAAACTCACTTTATTTTGGCATATTATTTCTTAAAACAAGACAATTTGTTTTGCTTGTCTAGAAAATGCTTCTTGATTTAGGAACTTTTAGATATTTGGACTAGAAACAAGACAAAAAATCTAAGAAAGAAAAGCTTTTTGACAGTGTAGTGTGAACTAGGCTTAAAAGGGAACTCCTAGGTGATTCTTGCGTTGTGTCTGCAGAGGTGGAGTCCTGTGTAAACTGTGGAGCGCCATCACAGAGCACAGAAAAAAGCCCGGCTGAGGACCACCGCCATCCACACACAACCAAACACCTCCAGTGGGAGCAGTTCAACTCTCGTGTGATTGTTTATATCACATAAATGTGCATTTGGAATATTATAATGTAAATATGTGTGTGCACTTTTCTTTTTTTATTGGTCTGTGAAACTGCAGTTGTACCAGGATCCACACATTCAATACGCGAGTGCTGTTACGGCATCTTTATACAGGAGGTCTGCTTTATTTTTGATATTTGTTTACAGAAACTTGTCCTGAGAAGCTTTTCCAGTCCAAATCTCTCCCGTCTGCAGTTTAAAGACGTTAAAACAAAAGACATCCATGTGTTTTATATATTTGTACATGTTTAATTTATAACCTGTGTAATGTCTCCAAATCTAATATTATTATTATTATTTTTAATCATCGCTAGTTATATTAGCAGATATTCAGAATTACAGCTATGAAAAACTCAGTTATGAGTCAAACTGTACTGTGTTTCTATGTGTAAAAGTCTTCTAGAGCTACATTCCTGAGATTATATATGTATATATATATATATATATATATATATATATATATACAAACTGCACAATGTTTTGCTATCCAGAAGCACAGAGAATATCTCAGCGTGTGTTTTAGCACTTATATCAGGTTATTCAGCAGCACAAGTTGTCGTTTTCTGGAGACTGAAGAGTTTAGCTGAAACTGATGCCAGTTTTTATATCAAGTTTAATTATAAATGAAGTACACGTCTAAAAGAATCATCCTGTGCTTTTATTTCAGTGATTATTTATTATTTTACACACACACACACACACACACACACACACACACACACACACACACACACACACACACACACACACACACACACAGGGCTATGTGAAGTTACAATCATGTTATGGACAAGTTGGATGTTTGCATGATCCGTCTTTGCATTCTGTCGCTTTCATTGTGTGCAGATCGGGATTTCACTTTTGGAGTGAATAAAAGATTTGAAAAACAATCATGCATTTTCCTTCGGCTTAGTCCCTTTATTAATTGCCTGGTTTGATGAGTCTCCATTTCTGCTGCCACATTTGGATGGTCGGGTCAGATTTTGACAACAACAACATGAAAGCATTGATCCATCCTGCCTTGTAGGATTTTTCTGGCACACTTAGTGCTCATTAGTACCAATTGAGCATCGTGTCGATGCCACAGCCTACCTGAGTGTCGCTGCTGACCATGTCCATCCCTTTATGAGCACAGTGTCTCCATCTTCTGATGGCCACTTCCAGCAGGATAATGCTCCATGTCATAAAGCATTAATTATCTCAGACTAGTTTCTTGAACATGACAATGAGTTCACTGTACTCACATGGCCTCCACAGTCTGCAGAACTCAATCCAATAGAGCACCTTTGGGATGTGGTGGAACGGGAGATTCGCATTATGGATGTGCAGCCGCTGTGTGATGCTATCGTGTCAATATGGACCAAAATCTCTGAGGAATATTTCCAATACTTTGTTGAATCTCTGCCACGAATGATTAAGGCAGTTCTGAAGGCAAAAGGTGTACCTAATAAAAGTGACCGTTGTATAATGTACACACAGTATAATACACTTTTCTAAAGCTTTAAAAACTAGAATTTACTAAACACATTAATGTGGGCTATATGCTGAAATACGCAAATACTGAAGCGACATGGCAGATTTCCACAATGAAATTCTACATTTGAGTTTTGTTTGTGAGATATGTTGAAGATTGTGATGGAGAAACTCAGTCCTGTAAGATGCTGTTCTAAAATACTCTTAAATATAACAGCACTTCCCTGCAGAAAAATCCAGCTTAAACCAGCCTAGGCTGGTTGGCTGGTTTTAGCTGGTTGACCAGGGTGGTTTTAGAGGGGTTTTGGCCACTTCCAGGCTGGTTTCCAGCCATTTACAGCCTGGTCTTAGCTGGTCTGGCTGGAAAGTGACCAGCTAAAACCATTTAAAACCAACTTGACATTCCTGGTTTAAGCTGGATATCCTGGTTTTGGCTGTGCTCCCAGCCTGGCTAGGCTGGTCAAGCTGGTTTTAGCTGGTCATCTCCCAGCCTGAACAGCTAAAACCAGGCTGGAAATGGCTGAAAACCAGCCTGGAAGTGGCCAAAACCCCTCTAAAACCAGGCTTGTCGACCAGCTAAAACCAGCCAACCAGCCTAGGCTGGTTTAAGCTGGATTTTTTTTTAGCAGGGTTGCTTCATTTATTTATTTACTACAGTGTTTATTCGTCAAGTACCGCTTATATTTAACATGTAATGAACTGCAGTAACTTTAGGAGCAAGAAGAAACCTCAGAGTCAAGTTTATTAAGGAAAAAACACGCTGGTGACTCCTGTACAGAATCTCCGACGTCATTCCCTGCGACTCTTCTCAACGCGCACGCGCAGTGTCTGTCCGGCGCGTGTTGATGAAGTAGATGCGACATGGCGGTGTTGTTGGAAACAACGTTAGGGGATATTGTGATTGATTTATACACAGAGGAGAGACCGAAAGGTAAATAATGATAATATCAGTGGTGGACCAACGATTTAAACATGGTTGCACTGTATTTAAGATTATTTGATGCAATAGCCAGAAACAATGTGAGAAATATAAGACCGCTGCAACTTTGAGTTCTTGATCAAAAATGAGTAATAATTATTATAACAGGTGGTAATTGTGTGTCCATTCCAAGCAGTTTGGTTATTATATAATAAAAAATAAGCCTAGGCTGGTTGGCTGGTTTTAGCTGGTCGGCCAGTCTGGTTTTGGAGGGGTTTTGGCCATTTCCACCCTGGTCTTAGCTGGTCAGGCTGAAAAATGACCAGCTAAAACCAGCTTGACCAGCCTGGTTTAAGCTGGTTTTGGCTGGGCTCCCAGCCTGGCTAGGCTGGTGAAGCTGGTTTTAGCTGGTCATCTCCCACCAGGCTGGAAATGGCTGGAAACCAGCCTGGAAGTTGCCAAAAACCCCTCTAAAACCAGCCTGGTCGACCAGCTAAGACCAGCCAGCCAGCCTAGGCTGGTTAAAGCTGTTTTTATCAGTAGGGATAATAGTTTAGGGCTTAAATTTGTGTGATTTAAACTTGATGTTAAAGTATAAAGTGCTTTTATATTCACAATTTTGGACTTTCTCCTTAATAAAATATAATTTTAGAAAATTATCATTTGCAAATTCTCAATAGGGAATGCCCCCAATGACTATAAAAGTATAACACTGTTCACAGTAGAGCTGTTTTGAAGTCATACTTGCATATGATTAGACCGAATAGTCAAAGTTACCATGGTAAACAATATAGTGACCGAGTCACAAGTTATCACTGAACAAATGTGCGAATATGAAACCCACTTACCTGAATGAAAATGGATTGTACTTATTAGTCCCGCTATTATGGGATGTTTTGATTCAAAGTGTTTTTCTAAATTATTAACTAAATGAATGTTCCTCTAATTTGCAGCCTCGCTGAACTTCCTGAAACTGTGCAAAATCAAATATTACAACTATTGTCTGATTCACAATGTTCAGGTAAGACATCTTTCATTCTGTCTGCACCTAAAGAGACAGTTCACCCAAAAAAAAAAAGAAAATTCTGTCATCATTTACTTTTCTTCTGTTGAATGCAAATGAAAGTTATTTTGCTGAAAGCTGGAAACTTGTAACCATTGACTCCTGTAGTATTTGTTTATCTACTGTGGAAATCAACGTTTACAGGATTTCAGCTTTCATCAAAATATCTTCTTCCGTGTTCAACCATGACATGAGGGTGAGTAAATAATGTGTAAATTAAAATTTTTGAGTGAACAGTTCCTTTTAAGAGATGTTTTTTTTTCTTATCTTAATTATTTTAGGTTTATGTTTTAGTTCCACTTCTTTAAAACCTGCTATTAAGGATAAAGCAAGTGTTTTTCTTATGGGAGGTGAAGGTTTGAGTTGTGAATGTTTTCAAAATCGCGTAAGACGAAGGTGAAATTAGATTATGGAATTTATTGCAGGTATCACTGAAATTAGATTCATTTACTGTATGATTTGTTAATGATCATTGCTGTCGTCAGTGAATGTTGTTGCATCTGTTCTTCAGAGAGATTTCATCATTCAGACGGGCGACCCCACTGGCACGGGCCGAGGAGGAGAGTCTGTGTTCTGGTAGGAACGAGCGCTTCTTGAGGATGCACAATATTGGGGGAAAAATAACTGACTAGGCAAGGGCCGGTATACGATTCTGACAGTATGATAACCCAGGATAAAAATATGGTTTTGCGGTATTGTGATTACTTCTCTAAAATATATTCTTTTTGAATGTCCGGGTAAAAAACAAAAACTTTTTTCCCTTTAAAACACAATAAATCTTATTTTAAGAAACATTTAAATATTTTGGAACAGTAGCCTAAACATGTCCGGCTAAATAAATCAAATTAATTATTGACTTCTGCTGTCTTCATTCATTTCAAAAACAATTTAAAACAGCATCTTTGGATATCTTTTATGCTGGAGATACTGTTGTCCTAAAAAAAAGTAAAGCAAAAGAGAAACTTTCACTTTATGTATTTAAATATTTTTAATTTTATATACTTTAAATATTTGTGTGTGTGTGTGTGTGTGTGTGTGCGTGTGCGCTAATTGAAGATGCATTGTATGATGGTACTGGTTTATTTGTTTCTAGTAAACTGTATGGCGATCAGGCACGCTTCTTTGAGTCTGAGAAAATGCCAAGGATCAAGCACAGAAAGAAAGGGACCGTGTCTATGGTGAACAACGGCAGTGACCAGCACGGCTCTCAGGTACACTGCACACAAATCAGTCAACCTTTAATCAGTCCACAAGCTCAGGCTGATCTCAATGGAAATTTCCTTATTTGTTTTTTGAAATGTTCCCTTCATCTCAGGGACATGAGCTACTATTAAAATCCTAAAACACACAACAAAAACTGGACTTGATTTAGTTGCCTTAAAAGTCATCATTGTTCAGGTCCACATTAAAAATGAATATGACAAGAGAATAAAAAGCATCCGCTGCATAAAACGCATGCCAGAGTAGTTGGTGGTTCATTCCGCTGTGACGACCATTGATAAATTAGAGACTAAGTCAAAGAATAAACAAATGAATAATTGAATGAATGTCTCTAATTAGTGAACGCAGTATAAATCTGAATGTTTTACATTTTTATAATGGCCTGGATCTAGAGCACAAAGCAAAGTGGAACAAACATTCTATATCTAGGCCATACACACACACACACACACACACACACACACAACCTGCAACAGAAAACTTTTTTTAGACATTGGCAAAAAAAATCTACAAAACTGGCATAACTCAAAATAAAATACTAAAGCAAATGATCTATATGGAACAAGCATGGCCACACACTCAGACGTACAGCTGTTTTAGCTGTTTTTTATTTTGTGTTGGTTTTATTTGCTGTTTTATTTAACTTTCATTACTTGTTGTAAAAAATCATAATGACCTGCAGATGGCAGCAGTTTAATTACTAAAATATGAGCCACTATCCAGAAAGCTTTTACATTGAGTTGGTTCAGAAAGCTGGTAGGTTCATAAGCCAAATTATAGTGTAGTTGCAAGTTTATGGAGTAAATGGGAAAAAGTTTATTATATAAAAATCACATTTCCTCATGTGATATCTCTGTAAAAGTCTGGGGGATGAACCAGAGGGTGATTTACCTTTTTTAATAAATGAATGAATTTATTTAATTATTATTATTATTATTATTATGCATTTTTTTCTGGGCCAATCAAAGGTTAAAGGAAATTTCCAATTGTTTTGTAAATAGGCTCATTTTACAGTAGGGCTGCCACAAAACACTAATTTATAGATTAAATTATTTATAGAATAACTAATTTATAGATTAGATCTAAAAGATTAATTTTATTTAAACAGTTGTTAATTTTATATTAATAATCAACAAAACACCACGCAGACACAGTAATAATATCACATAAAATGATAATGAATTTCATTTATGAAATATGACAAAATAGATTACTTTTCAGTTTTAATGTGGAAGCTAGTTTGCTTTTTTGTAAACAAAATGCCTGAATATTTATTATTAAAAGTGAAAAACAAATAATCTATGGCAAGAGATATGCTAAATTGGGTACAAACCATCAGTGAATTAAATATTTTCTGTTTTATTTTATTTTTTTAAGGTAGAAATGATTTATCCTGGTGGTCCATTCTGCTAAAGCGACTGCTTTATATCCAGGGTTTCCACGGGGTCTTAAAAAGTAATAAATGTTAATAAATCAATTGTAAGAAAATGAAGGCCCATAAAAGGTGTTAAAAAGCCTTAATAGTGTTTTACGAGGCCTTAAATTTTATTCAAGCACTGTCCAAAGTGTTCAAGTGTGTAGTTAACTTAACATTTAGTGTAAGCTAATTCTACTCATTTGAAAAGAGTTTTGAACTCAGTTAATTAAATACCTCATTACTTCAACTTAAATAGAGTAAGTTCACAGTACTCATATAGACTAGATTTTTAACTCAAATGGTTTGTAGCAATCGGTTTCCTCAAACGGTTTGAGTTGCCCTAACTTATTGGGTTTTACAGTACTCAGTTGGTTTGAGTTCTCTTCATTTATTGGGTTTTGCTTCGTTTACTCAAATGGAGTAAGTTCACAGTACTCATTAGGATTAGTTTTGGAACTTAAATGGTTTGTTGCAATTAGTTTCCTCAAACGGTTTGAGTTACCTTAACTTTTTTACAATGTAGATTTATTTTCCTCTTAATATTAACAACAGCGTGCTCGATCTACGCGATTGGTTCAGGCCTGCTAAGCTCCTCCATCTGGGTGATGTGACATACAGTAAATTGCAACCAACGTGGGAAGGTGATGTGACGCTCTTCACATGTACAGAAACCAAAGAGTGAAACAGACGGCAAAATAGGAAAATGCAAGTTTGCGTACTCCTGGTTGGAGAAAGACAAGTTTAAACAGCCTGCCGGTAAAACCATGTAATTTGTTTTTTCAAGCTTTGTTTCTTTCGAGCTTATCTGAGTTCTGTTGCACGATTGTGCTCCTTTTATTTATTTAACTACAGCTGTTTATTAGCAACTGTTCATTAAGTTAAAGGTTTGATACTGATTAGAACTTGAAGTGGCGACGAGGCCTTAAATTATTCTGAGAAGGTCTTTAAAAAGTCTTAAAAAGGAAGTGACATTTTCTTTAGGATTCCTGCAAATACCCTGAGATCTTAAGGAATAAGCTGAAGCACAGCCATCGAGTGCTGCTTAACATGTTTTCGCTTAGAAACAAAAATAAACTACTGCTATTAGTAATCTGTCAGGCTTCTGCTTATTAATTTCATTATCTGCAGATGATAAAATCAGATGATAGCCTACATGAGTACGAGGCCAGACAACCAAAGATTATGATTTACACACCGTGACTCTTTTTAATCTCTTTTCTTATTTACATTTACATTTAGTCATTTAGCAGATGCTTTTATCCAAAGCGACTTACAAATGAGGACAAGGAAGCAATTTACACAACTATAAGAGCAACAATGAATAAGTGCTATAGGCAAGTTTCAGGTATGTAAAGTCTAAGAAGGAAAGTATTAGTATTAGTTTTTTTTTTTTTTTTTTTGGGGTACAGTTGGTGTGATATCCAGAGAGCCAATTGCAGATTAGGAAGTGAAGTGGAGACTAAATAGTTGAGTTTTTAGTGGTTTCTTGAAGACAGCGATTGACTCTGCTGTTCTGATGCAGTTAGGGAGTTCATTCCACCAACTGGGCAGATTGAGCGTTCGCGAAAGTGATTTCTTCCCTCTTTGGGATGGAACCACGAGGCGACGTTCATTCACAGAACGCAAGTTTCTGGGGGGCACATACATCTGCAGAAGTGAGAGCAGATAAAAAGGAGCAAAGCCAGAAGTCGCTTTGTAAGCAAACATCAGAGCTTTGAATTTGATGCGAGCAGCAACTGGCAGCCAGTGCAAACGGATGAGCAGCGGAGTGACATGTGCTCGTTTAGGTTCATTAAAGACCACTCGTGCTGCTGCGTTCTGGAGCAGTTGAAGAGGCTTGATAGAGTTAGCTATTTTTAGCAAGATGCTAACTGTCTAATCAGAAATTCAATGATTTATGCTAAGCTAAGCTAAAACCGCCCCCACCAGACCTGAAGAATGGCTGAACGGATAAGAGCATGGTAAAACTCAACTGCTAAACTCTAGAGAAGATGAGCCTATTCCAAAAGAAGTGGAGTGTTCCTTTAATACACAGTCAGGGATTAGATCTGAGAGTTTTTCTTTTCTGTTTGCTCCTAGTTTCTGATCACCACAGGAGAGAATGTGGATTATTTAGATGGCGTTCACACAGTGTTCGGAGAGGTCACGGAGGGTATGGACGTGCTCGCTAAAATCAACGAGACCTTTGTAGACAACGACTTCATCCCCTTCCAGGACATCAGGTAGGAAAAAAGTGTTTAGAGAGAGATTGACTAACTTTAAATTAATATATATATATACAGTTGAAGTTATTAGCCCCTCTAAATTATTAGAGCGCTTGTTTATTTTTTCCCCAATTTCTGTTTAACGTAGAGCAGATTTTTTCAGCACATTTCTAAACATAATCATTTTAATAACTCATCTCTAATAACTGATTTATTTAATCTTTGACATGATTACATTAAATAATATTTTACTAGATATTTTTCAAGACACTTCTATACAGCTTAAAGTGACATTTAAAGGCTTCACTAGGTTAATTAGATTTACTAGGCAGGTTAGGGTAATTAGGCAAGTTGTTGTATAACGATGGTTTGTTCTGTAGACTATCAGAAAAAAATTAGCTTAAAGGGGCTAATAATTTTGTCCTTAAAATGGTGCTTAAAAAAAATTATAGGTTGGAGGAAGTTTAAAATTTTTAATTTAATTAATTAATTTATTTTTAATTTTTTTTCTGTAAATTTATTTTAATTTTATTTTCATTTTTATTAATATTAATATATTTTTTATTTAATGCATTTCCTTTTCATAAATTTTTTTTATTAATATTTAAAATAAAATTAAAACTGCTTTTATTCTAGCCGAAATAAAACAAATAAGAATTTCTCCAGCAGAAAAAATATTATCAGACATGCTGTGGAAATTTCCTTTCTCTGTTAAACATCATTGGGAAATATTTAAAAGAGAAAAAAAAAATCAAAAGGGGGCTAATACTGACTTCGACTGTGTATATATATATATATATATATATGTCTCTGTTAGTATATGACTTCTAATATGCAGAATCAATGATGATGCATTGCATGATACATGCGCATGAATGATTATTTCCAATAATCAGTGTAAGGGCTTATCATCACAATATAAGGTTTGCATGTCACGAGCAAAGGTTTTAATCCCGTTTACAAGCAAATTCCATTACTCAAATTATTCCATGGGAATTGTGGGGAATTAGATCATTTTCAGAAAATCTTACATATGTACGGTCTGGACAAATGTGCTTTATTTAGGTACTTGCAAACCAGGACCTACTTTAACAGTGAGATTAGATGTCTGGAGAATCATCCCCCCAACTTAATCGATTTAGTTATTGACGTCTGTAAGGACAAAGATTTATTCCTCCATCAAATCCACCAAGGAGCACTCAACAAATGACATCAGACTAAAATGGGAGAGAAAATCCAACCTAGTTATCTCAGAGGAAGACTGGTTGAATATCTGCTCTGTACAGGCAACTTCTTTCAGCTCTGGTATGTGGTGAGATTTTTGCTGGAGGAATCTTACCAGATACTTTATAACCTTCAAGTTAACATGGTTGCAAACACGAGAGAAGGAGAGGGGACAGTGCTGGAGGAAATGTGGGGAAGACCTAGCAAACCATTTTCACATATTTTGGAGTTGCCCAGCATATAGTCTCATATAGTTTTGTGCTGTTGTTGTTACAGGATTAATCACACAGTGATTCTGGATGACCCGTTTGATGATCCAGCAGGCCTGCCGGTTCCGGACCGCTCACCTGAGCCCACCAAACAGCAGCTGGATGTAAGTAACTTCATTTAATGTGCCTAGCCTAGAGCCCTGTTTGCTGTTAAAAACCAGCCTAGAACGCCACCTGTTGTTAAAACTATCCTAGAGTGCCGTCTGCTGTTAAAACTAGCCTAGAGCGCCGTCTGCTGTTCAAACTAGCCTAGAGCGCCGTCTGCTGTTCAAACTAGCCTAGAGCGCCGTCTGCTGTTCAAACTAGCCTTGGGCGCCGTTTGCTGTTCAAACTAGCCTAGGGCGGCGTCTGCTGTTCAAACTAGCCTAGAGCGCCGTCTGCTGTTCAAACTAGCCTAGAGCGCCGTCTGCTGTTCAAACTAGCCTAGAGCGCCGTCTGCTGTTAAACACCAGCCTAGAGCGCCGTCTGCTGTTCAAACTAGCCAAGAGCGCCGTCTGCTGTTCAAACTAGCCTAGAGCGCCGTCTGCTGTTCAAACTAGCCTAGAGCGTCGTCTGCTGTTCAAACTAGCCTAGAGCGCAGTCTGCTGTTCAAACTAGCCTAGAGCGCCGTCTGCTGTTCAAACTAGCCTAGAGCGCCGTCTGCTGTTCAAACTAGCCTAGAGCGCCGTGTGCTGTTTAAACTAGCCTAGGGCGCCGTCTGCTGTTCAAACTAGCCTAGAGCGCCGTGTGCTGTTTAAAGTAGCCTAGAGCACCGTCTGCTGTTCAAATTAGCCTGTTCAAACATGTTTGGAAGAAGCAGAGGATGAGGAACAGATAACAGAATAAACAGTTTTGGGTGAACTGTCTCTTTAAAGAGCTGTAGATGATGATGTTCAGTGAGTGATCCGTGTTTGGCCATGTTTCAGAGCGGTCGTATTGGAGCTGATGAGGCCATTAATGATGACGAGGGCAAAGATCCTGAAGAGCTGGACGAACTGATAAAGGACAAGGAAGCAAAGACTCAAGCCATTTTACTAGAGATGGTACGTGTCTTCGCTTGCACATTAACATCTCCAGTAAATAAATACACCTCTGGAAGCTGCTCTTGATGAACGTGTGAGGGCTTATGTGTGTTTCCTACTGAAAGGTGGGAGATCTTCCAGATGCCGACATCAAACCTCCAGAAAACGTGCTGTTTGTGTGTAAACTCAATCCTGTGACTACAGATGAAGATCTGGAGATCATCTTCTCTCGCTTTGGCCTCATTAAATGGTGAGATGGCACATTTCCTGCTGCATTACTTCCACTGATAATGAGACCCTCATACTTTGTCGATTAGGGCTTGCAACCTAAAACGAATCGGGGCTTTATTTTGCGCATCATTTCCTCATAGCAAATTAACGGTAAGAGAGGGTTTTAATATGCAGTTGCTATGGAAATCTTCAGGTTGACGTCAACAGAAGATGCACCACTCCAAACACAGAAGCAGACGCTCAGGCTTTGATTGAAGATGACCAAAACAAACACATTTTTTTTCAGTGAATTAATTATTCACCTCAAGAATAGCACTGTGAGCTATCTTTAAGGTAAAATAAACAGCGTAAAGTTGGATTTCAAGGGGACTTTAAGGTAGTACGTGAGTTTAGGTAGTGGGTAGGCTTAGGAAAGTAGAATAATGTTATGAAGATTATGTACTTGTAAAGCATTAATAAAGAGCCAGTATCTGTATTGTAGATTATTATATGATTGCAGATATCTGCATTATATGATTATTATATTATTATATAATTATATCCTGGTAAGAAGCCAATATTACATGTCTTTACATCTGCAGGAGTCGATCTATTAACTGGCTATTAAACTTTTAAACTAAGCACTTATCTAAATCTTATCTGGTGGTGTGTTTACTGTTTCACAAGTCTGTGATCGAGCATTAAATATTATTTTTTGCATATGATAAATATTGTCTAATGCCTAAATATTGATGGTAAACAATCATATTTCCGCCTTTTTCACAGATTTTTAATGTATAACGAGTTTTATTTTGCATTATTATTATTATGCATCCTTTTATTTATTCTGTTATATTTTTTAAATTGAGAGTGAGAGACTCTAAGGGCTGGGTTGCCAGGTTCAAGAATATTTGCCCCTTTTGATTTATTCAATTAATTAGCTTTTATTATATTTTGAGATGTATAGAAAAAGAGACACTGAGGGCAGGTTTGCCAGATCCAAGAATATGTTCACCCTTTAGTTAATTTTGTTTAATAGATTCTATTATATTTCGAGATGGATAGAAACACACTGAGAGCAGGGTTGCCAGGTCCCAGAAATGTTCCTGCAAAATAACAACTCAAAATCCACCAAAAATCGAAAAGTTGCCGAATGCAAAACAAACCAGTCATAATTGTTGTGAACTGATGTGTATACATGACTTGAGAGCTGAATACAACTATTAGAAAATAACTTTAAAGTTGCCATTAAAGTTGTGGAAATGCTAAATCATAAAAATTTGTCTCAGTCTGGAGTGTAAAAAAATATACTCGTAATGTCCGCAACATCACCTGTAGGTTTTTGAAAGGTGCAAATGAAGCTACAAGTGGGCAGGGCCTACCTCCACCATCTTGTCATCGTGCTGACCGTGCATTACTCCAGGGTTACTGAAAATGTCACTCAAGGGGCCATCCCTTAATTATGCAGAATTTTAAGGCTTAATATAAGTTAAATGAATGAGTTATTAAAAATTCACCCACTCACATTTGTCATGAAGGGCAATATTACCTATAAATATCAAAATTATTTATTTGTATGAGGCTATAAACATTTTTTTCTGTTGTGAAGTTGCTCTGTTTTGGAGCCGGCCCCCAGTGGCCAGTCAATGAATTGCAGTTTCAGTTAGTTTCATATTACTTGAGCGGGAGGTTTCCACTAGGTTTTGATGCATTGATGAAAATTATAAAGTATTTTTAAGAAACATCAGGAAATCTTTGCTGATTCAAATGATTTTGGCATTAAAGATAATGCGTCATTTTGACCCATTCATTGTATTTTCGGCTATTGGCAAAAATACACCCGTGCAACATGAGACTAGTTTTGTGCTCCAGAGTCACATTCATCTTCTCTGATAACCTCATAAACCTTCTTATAGATAGTTAATTTTTTTTTTCTCTCTTCTCTTCTGTGAGCACTAGTATCAGTCTGAAACGAAGCAGCACTGGCTGAGGCTTTAACCTGAAACACGCTCTGCTCGTACCGTTTTAGCAGTAGGCAGTATGCATGTATGTATAGCACACGCAGTATTTTCTGAATGCACGGAATGCCCAGATGACCTCGCTGAGACTGTGTTATACACTGTGGGAGAAGGCATCCCATAATGCAACGAGACTTTCCATTTCAGATATGACAGATGAACTGGATTATAATATCTGCAGTGTTTCAAGCTCACAGCATGACATTGCATTAAAATGGTTTTGATTTTTGACTCGGGATTTTGCTAACTGGATTGATCATGCTGCGTGAAGAAGTCATACAACAATAAAACCTGCATACACACACACACAGTGCTCTGCATAACTTTTTTTTTATCCACTTCTCAGTGAATATAGGCCATGTATTTTGGTGCATTTAAACAACACAGATTTATTAAACGGATATATTTATTAAAATAATTTTTTTGTCACCAAACATATTTCGAAATTGAAAGATGATACAATTAAATTCAAGCAAAATATTGCAAAACAAAAAAATTACAACCTACAAAATTTTTTAATTATTTTGCTTCTCTTGATTTTTCCCCTTTTTAAAATTTGTATTTAATATTTTTCTATAACACATATATTTGGCTTTACTAGTAATTGCAATTGTAATTTTCATTAAATGCAGGCACCAAAACAGATTGTCTAGTCTTTGAGGTGTTAATTATTAATCTCCTGGCTTTAATCTAATATGTCGATGTTTACTTGCAGCTGTGAGATCATCAGAGACTGGAAAACTGGAGAATCTCTGTGCTACGCCTTCATAGAGTTTGAAAAGGTTTGTAAAGTCTCCAGTGAAAGTTAGTTCATGTCTGCAAGCACTGAACACGTAAATGCTAACAAACTCACTCTAACAGGACATGTTAAACTTTTCTGTTTTAAAGGTTACCTATCTATTTTCTCTCGCTTTATACACTCTTTGACTACCGTTTCTGTTACTGCTTTTACTGATTAATCTGGTAGTTTTGTTTTGTAAAAATGTAAATATCAGTCACAAGTGAGCACATCATGCAGTTCATCTTTGCAAAATTGTTAAAATTCAGCCACATTGAATAGTTTTTGAGCATGGACTGTCTTTTTAAGGTCATTCCACAGCAACTCAGTTAGATTCAGGTCAGGACTTTGACTAGGCCACTCCTAAGTCTTCATTTTGTTTTTCGTAAGCGAATCAGAAGTGGACTTTACACTTTTTCCACACAGGGCTATGATTTTAGCTTTCCTTTAATAATAAAAATCTTTGTTTAATAAAAACCGCATGATGTGTTTACTTATTTTGACGAATGTTTAAATTAGTTTCATGACCTGAAACATTAAAGTTTGATAGACATGCAGAAAAATCAGAAATCAGAAAGGGGGAAACACTTTTACACAACATTGTATAATATAAAGGAATTATAACAAGTTAGGGCGAGGCAGTGGCGCAGTAGGTAGTGCTGTCGCCTCACAGCAAGAAGGTCGCTGGTTCAAACCTCGGCTCATGTGGCGTTTCTGTGTGGAGTTTGCATGTTCTCCCTGCCTTCGCGTGGGTTTCATCCGGGTGCTCCGGTTTCCCCCACAGTCCAAAGACATGCGGTACAGGTGAATTGGGTAGGCTAAATTGTCCTTAGTGTATGAGTGTGTGTGTGTGAATGTGTGTGTGGATGTTTCCCAGAGATGGGTTGCGGCTGGAAGGGCATCCGCTGTGTAAAAACTTGCTGGATAAGTTGGCGGTTCTTCCGCTGTGGCGACCCACAGATTAATAAAGGGACCAAGCCGACAAGAAAATGAATGAATAACAAGTTATTTAGTTATATACTGGATATATATTTTAGTGAAGTATATTCACATATACACATTTTATTTAACAGTAATTATCGATATTTCTGTGTTTTGTGCAGTTGTAAGCAGGAGACATCTTCTCAATGACACACATCATCAAAAAGCATGTTTAGCTTCAATCTGTCTCATTATAAGCCTAGAAGAACTAAACTACAACTGTTAGCATTAAGAAAGTCTTTGGTTAAAGTACAACAGAGCCTGATCAAACCCATTTTGTAGTGAGCTCACATCTTTAACTCTTTCCCTGCCATCTGCATTCAGGTGGTGATAAAACATATCATAAACACATCATTATAGAGTAAAATGCTTTGTTTTAGGGTGCTTTCACACTAGCGCTTTTGGTCCGCACCCGGGTTCGTTTGACATCATAGTACGGTACGTTTATCTAGTGTAAACGTGTCTTCTGAACTCAGGTGCGCACCCGTGAACTGTACCCGAGTCCACCTGAAAGAGGTGGTCTGGGGTACGATTCATGCGTACTCTGGTACAGTTCACTTCTGATGTGAATGCAATCGTACCAAATCACAGACGTGAACCGCCAACTGTACAATAAACTATCGTTTTCACAATGTTCGTACGTGTTTGTGTGTGTGTGTCACGTTTTGTACCTTGGTGACACTCGCGGGACTGAGCCAGGGCAAACACAATAATACACAGTGATGTCTGCTTGTCTCTCCGCAAGCATACCGGGGTTCAGAAGAAAAAAAGACAGTGTGAACACAAACCAACCGAGGAGGTGGCAGGGGGAGACAATCGAACTTGGGTACGGTTCAGGCAAATGAACCAAGTGTGAAAGCACCCTAAAAGCAGAGGCTTGGTTCTTTGATAAATAATATGGTTATATATTATTTATAGCCATATACATTTATATATGTCAAATTTCAGGTGAAAATCATCAAAAATGCTGACGGTGGCTGTTCTTCATCATAAACAATAGAATGTTAATGCTTGTCTTATCAGATTTGGTAGTGTTACCAGCGCAATCTCCATAAATGTAGTGCAGAAAATTCACAGAATCGCAGTCTGGAGCCCTGGTAGACTTCTGCCAGCTATAGGTTTATAGTTTTATCTTGCATATTATTTACCATTTTTGTATAACATTATTAGCTGAACACATCTTTATTTGACCTCAGAGCATATCAGCTTCTGGAACCGGATACTTAGTGAGTCATTGTGGAATAATGAATGCTTTTGTATGTATTTGCTAAGGAGGAGGACTGTGAAAAGGCGTACTTCAAAATGGACAATGTCCTGATAGATGACCGCCGCATTCATGTGGACTTCAGCCAGTCTGTCTCTAAGATCAAGTGGAAAGGCAAAGGTGAGACCGTCCCTGTTTATTAGACACACTATCCCATTAATTGCACTGCTGTTTATTTGCTGGTGACGATTCTCCCCAAAAACGTTGTCATTATTTACTCGCGCTTCACTTTATCTAGACCTGTGTGAGTTTCTTTCTTCTGTTGAACACAAAAGAAGATTTATTCTGGAAAAAAACACAGCCGTTATCTTGCATTGTATATTTTATTCCTACTATGGGTGTCAATGGCTGCTTTTTTCCAACATTATTTAGAATAATTTGCTTTGTGTTTAACAAAATGTGAAAGAGTTTTTGAAAATGTGGTAAATTTATTCACAATTAAAAAGCTGAGAAATCACATGTACATCAGTGTTCACAGCCTTTTGCGTGAAGCTCTAAATTAAGCTCAGGTACATGCTGTTTCCACTGATCATTCTTGAGATGTTTCAGCAGCTTCATTGGAGTTCAGCTGTGGTCAATTCAGTTGATTGGACATGATTTAAAAAGGCGTACACCTGTCTATATAAGATCCCAGGGTTGACAGTGCATGTCAAAGCACAAACCAAGCATGAAGACAAAGGAATTGTCTGTAGACCTCCGAGACAGGATTGTCTCGAGGCACAAGGATGGGGAAGGTTACAGAAACATTTCTGCTGCTCTGAAGGTTACAATGAGCACAGCGGCCTCCATCATCCGAAAGTGGAAGTTGTTTAACCACCAGGACTCTTCCTAGAGCTGGCCGGCCATCTAAGCTGAGTGATCAGGGAGAAGGGCCTTAGTCAGAGAGGTGATCAATAACCCAATGGTCACTTTGTCTGAGATCCAGCGTTCTTCTGTGGAGAGAGGAGAACCTTACAGAAGGACAACCATCTGTGCAGCAATCCACCAATTAGGCCTGTATGGTAGAGGGGCCAGACGGAAGACACTCCCCACCTGGAATCTGCCAAAAGGCATCTGAAGGACTCTCAGACCATAAGAAACTAAACTCTCTGGTCTGATGAGATTAAAATTGAACTCTTTGGAGTAAACGCCAGGTGTTGCGTTTGGAGAAAACCAGGCACCACTCAACACCAGGCTAATACCACCCCTACGGTGAGGCATGGTATTTGGCAGCATCATGCTGTAGGGATGTTTTTCAGCAACAGGAACTGGAAGACTAGTCAGGATAGAGGGAAAGATGAATGCAGCGATGTACAGAGACATCCTGAATGAAAACCTGCTTCAGAGTGCTCTTGACCTCAGACTGAGGCGACGGTTTATCTTCCAGCAGGACAGTGACTCAAAGCACACCGCTAAAACATCAATGGAGTGGCTTCACAACAACTCGGTGAATGTCCTTGAGTGGCCCAGCCAGAGCCCAGACCTAAATCCTATTGAACATCTCTGGAGATCTGAAAATGGCTGGACACCGTTGCTTCCCATCCAACCTGATAGAGCTTGAGAGGTGCTGCAAAGAGGAACGGGCAGAAATTCCCAAAGACAGGTGTGCGAAGCTTGTAGCCTCATATTCAGAAAGACTTGAGGCTGTAATCGCTGCCAAAGGTGCATCAACAAAGTATTAAGCAAAGGCTGTGAATACTGATGATTGTGTGTAGAATGTTGAGGAAGTCAATGAATTTAATCAATTTTGGAGTGAGGCTGTAACAAACAAATGTGGAAAAAAGTGAATCTCTATCAATACTTTCCGGATGCACTGTATCACAGACAGTTTGTTAGATGACCCCCAAACTCTGAATTTAATCTACAGCACACTGTCAAGATAAGCATCATGATATGTTGATGCTTCTACTAGTAAGGTGTCTGGCCTATTTATCACATTTTGAGGATCAATTCGAGGACACCAGAATACTTAAACAGATCATGCTGCCCTATGCTGAAGAGGAAATGTTCTTTTATATGAGTATTTCAACAAGAAAAGTGACCCCAAACACGCCAGTAAGCATGCAGCGTCTTGGTTTCTGATCAGCTAGACCAAGGGTGTCCAAACTCAGTCCTGGAGGGCCCGTTTCCTGCATAGTTTAGCTCAAACTTCCTCCAACACACCTGCCTGGAAGTCTAGTATACCTAGAAAGAGCTGGATTAGTTGGTCAGGTGTGTTTGATTGGGGTTGGAACTAAAATATGCAGAACATTGGCCCTACAGGACCGAGTTTGGACACCACTGAGCTAGACTAACATTATGGAGTGGCCAGCCCAATGTCCAAACCTTAACCCAAGAAATGCAGATGAATTGTGGTTTGTTGTGCAATCATGCACCTGTTCAAAAAAGCCAGGAGTTTAGGAAAGCTAAATCTTCAAGCATTTTTCAGTTAGTATTTGCTTTTTTACAGAAAATGCACAATGCTGCTTTTTAAAAGCCTAATATTTGATTTTCTTCACTTCCTGTAAAGTAATAATATTTGTAACCGATTGTTTTCTTCGTGCTTTGATTAAGAATGGAATGTTTTGTGTTCCCAATGTATATATTGGATGAACAGTGGTTTTATTACCAGTTTCTCTTCTCATCTTCAGGTGGGAAGTACACCAAAGATGATTTTAAGGCCTACGAGAAAGACCTGGACAACAAAGCCAAACTGGCTTTAAAAGACAAAGTGAAAAGCAAGCAAGAGTATCCTTCTGAAAACACGTTCACATTTTACTGGCTGCATTGATTTTTACAGATTTTTGCTTTTTTTTACCAATTTGCATTTGTTGAATTCTCAGCAGATTTACTGAAGTGCTGGTTTGTTTGAATCATGAATCATTTACTTAAAGGGACAGTTCACCCAAAAACGAAAACCTTCTCTTATTCTGCTCACCCACAGGTCATCTAGGTGATTTTTTTCTTTAGAAGAACAGTAAAGAAGATTTTAGCTGAAACTGATGTCCTGTTAAAAGCTTTCGCTTTATTTTTATTTATTTATTTTTAGTTTTATCAGTTGCTGAAATTTAGGAATTGCATAACAAAGACTGTATCATGCACTCTGATTAATTTAGAGTGAAACCAGAAGAGGGGGCGACATGGTGGCTTAGTGGTTAGCACTGTCGTCTCACAGCAAAAAGGTCGCTGGTTTCCTGGCTGGGTCAGTGGACATTTCTATATGGAGTTTGCATGTTCTCCCTTTGTTGGCGTGCTCCAGTTTCCCCCACAGTCCAAACATATGCACTATGAGGGAACTGATGAACTAAATTGGCCGTAGTGTATGAGTGTGTATGTGTGTTTCCCAGTACTGGGTTGCAGCTGGAAGGGCATTCGCTGTGCCAAACATATGCTGGAATATTTGGCAGTTCATTTTGCTGTGGCGACCCCAGATTAATAAAGGGACTAAGCCGAAAAGAAAATGAATGAAAGAAACCAGGAGGAATATATTAGGAATGTAAAGGCCAGAAATGCTTCTTAACGGTTTTCTAAAGCTCACGGTATGAGCTTCTCCTAGATGAGGATGAGGATGACGGAAGAAAAGACGATAGAGAGAAACGAGAGCGGAAACGCCATTCGGACAGCGAGAGGACCAAGGACAAAAGATCTAAGGTACATATGTATATGTATATGTATATGTATGTATGTGTGTATATGTATGTATGTATGTATGTATGTATATATATATATATATATATATATATATATATATATATATATATATATATATATATATATATATATATATATGTGTGTGTGTGTCTGTATATATATACAGTGGGGATCGAAAGTTTGGGCACCCCAGGTAAAAATTTGTATTAATGTGCATAAAGAAGCCAAGGAAAGATGGAAAAATCTCCAGAAGGCATCAAATTACAGATTAGACATTCTTTTAATATGTCAAAAAAGTTAGATTTTATTTCCATCATTTACTCTTTCAAAATAACAGAAAACAAAAAAATGCCGTCTGCAAAAGTTTGGGAACCCTGCAGAGTTTATAGCATGCACTGCCCCCTTTGGCAAGTATCACAGCTTGTAAACGCTTTTTGTAGCCAGTCAAGAGTCTTTCAATTCTTGTTTGAGGTATCTTTGCCCATTCTTTCTTACAAAAGTCTTCCAGTTCTTTGAGATTTCTGGGCTGTCTGTCATGCACTGCTCTTTAAAGGTCTATCCATAAATTTTCAATAATGTTGAGGTCAGGAGATTGTGAAGGCCATGGCAAAACCTTCAGTTTACATCTCTTGATGTAATCCATTGTGGATTTTGAGGTGTGTTTAGGATCATTATCCATTTGTAGGAGCCATCCTCTCTTTAACTTTAGCTTTTTTACAGGTGGCATCAAGTTACCATCCAAAATTTGCTGAAATTTTATTGAATTCATTTCTCTTTCTACTCGTGAAATGTTCCCTGTGCCACTGGCTGCAATAAAAGCCCAAAGCATGACTGAACCACCTCCATGCTTAACAGTTGGACAGAGGTTTTTTTCATTAAATTCTGTGCCCTTTCTTCTCCAAACGTACCTTTGCTCATTCCGGCCAAAAAGTTCTATTTTAACCTCATCGGTCCACAGAACTTGTTTCCAAAATGTATCAGGCTTGTCTATATGTTCATTTGCAAAGTTCAAACGCTGTTTTTTTGTGGTGAGGACGTAAAAGAGGTTTTCTTTTGATGACTCCATGAAGACCATATTTGTACAAGTATCTGTTTATAGTGGAATAGTGTACCACAGTTCCAGTGTCTGCCAGATCTTTCTGGAGGGATTGTGCAGTCAAACGGGGGTTTTGACTTGTTTTTCTCACAATCCTGCGAGCTGTTCTGTCTGATATTTTTCTTGGTCTTCCAGATCTTGCTTTAACTTCAACTGTTCCTGATGACTGCCATTTCTTAATTACATTCCGTACAGATGATATTGGCATCTGAATACGCTTTGCTATCTTCTTATAGCCTTTTCCCTTTTTTGTGAGCATCAACTATTTTCAGTTTCAGTTATCTAGACAACTGCTTAGAAGAACCCATGATGCTGATTGTTGGGGCAAGGTCAGATGAGTTGGATGAGTTTGGGCATTTAAAACCTTTAAGATTGACATCACTTGGTCTTTGCTGACGATGATTGAGAACAATCCATGACACTGTCAGGTCTCAGATTTCCCAAGGGGGCAGTGCATGCTATAAACTCTGCAGGGTGCCCAAACTTTTGCAGACGCCATTTTTTTGTTTTCTGTTATTTTGAAAGTGTAAATGATGGAAATAAAATCTAACTTTTTTGACATATTAAAGGAATGTCTAATCTGTAATTTGATGCCTTTTGAAGATTTTTCCATCTTTCCTTGGCTTCTTTACGCACATTACTACAAATTTTTACCTGGGGTGCCTAAACTTTCGATCCCCACTGTATATATATATATATATATATATATATATATATATATATATATATATATATGCAGACATACATACATGCATACATACATATATATATATATATATATATATATATATATGTATGTATGTGTGTGTGTGTGTGTGTGTGTGTGTGTGTGTGTATATATATTTATATATATATATGTATGTATATGTATATATATGTATGTATATGTATGTATGTATGTATATATATATATATATATATATATATATATATATATATATATATTGGTTGTTAGACTGATCCTCAAAAGTCAGATGGGCTCCATCCATTTGTATAAGCAGAAAAGGTTCCGCTGTTTAAATAAAATAAATAAGATTTGGACCTTTAATATCCTCTGAGTGTTCAAGACTAGACATACAGACTGTGTTATGTTAGACTGAAGGCTGCACTCAAATCCATCAGCACGAGTTCCCGGAATCAACAGATAATAAAAGGTCATTTGCCAGTCGGAGAGACTGAGAGAAGATTCTGCACCAAGGGTATAGAATTGGCATAGACCGAGGCGACAAGTCCCCACCAATTACTGAAATGTCCCTACCAACAATCTAATCCACTTCAAAATAAAGTAATGCTCCGTCAACTCTTAACCTACACATGCACCAAGTCAAGTTCACTACGAGTTCACCGTAATACTATAAGCCAAGGCAGTGCAATTCATTAAACTCAGTTTTGATTTTGGCCTCCATGATTATAAAAAAACAATAATCGGGATAAAACAGTTCAATTGGGTCACACACGTCTCTAAATATCTCTACACTCATACCTCCTCAAAGCCCGACTGCAGTAAACTCATGTAAATAGACTGCTGCAGCGCGGGCCGAGATTGTTATTTGTATTATGAGGTGTTTATTTTATATTATTAAGTGCTTTAATCGTGTTTTTAAAAGCGGGAACTAGTGCTGTACTGCATGCGCTAGAAATCTATGACCCCACTAATGTCAAGGGCAATTGTCATGCAATGTTCTGTCTCCTAAAACCAGACTGAAATCAGTCAAAGATTCCATGATAACTGAACATGAACTTCCTTGAAAGGATGCTTGGAAATTGCCAAATATTAGAAAATCTACACGAATTTACCCATCTACGAGCGCTGGTGTGTATTTTCCTGTTTTAATTTAGCTATGTATTGTTTTCAAGTGCATTGGACTGGTGATATTTTTTTAATTTTTTAAAATCTCTGTATTTTCAATATGGTAAATTTGTTAAGAAGCTAAAAACTTTAGTTCTGTCTTCTCTTTTGTGTCTCTTTTTTTATTCTTTCTACCTCCTGTTGTTCAGGATCGTGATGAGAGTCGTAGAGAGAAAGACAGAAGCAGACAGCGCTCACGCTCCAGAGACCGAGAGAGACAGAAGGACAAACAGAGAGAGCGAGGCAGAGACCGAGACGGAGATCACAAACGCCACAGACGAGAGCGCAGCCGCAGCCCCAAGAGATCCAGACACTGAAGATGAGCAGAGAAACTCTAACTGAGGACAAACTAACATCATCATCATCATCATCATCATCATCATTATTATCTGACGTGAACAAACTATTACAGTTTGTAAACAGTTAACAGGTCAGTTCACCCAAACATCAACATTCTGGCAGCATTTACTCACCATATACTAAAACTGTCTGAGTTTCAAAAAAGAAGATATTTTGAAGAATGCTGGAAACCTGTAATCATTGACTTCAGTAGTATTTGTGTTTTCTACTATGAATGTCAGTGGTTACGGGTTTCCAGCATTCTTCAAAATATCTTCTTTTGTGGTCAACAGAAGAAAGAAACTCAAAGGTTCCCGGCTGAAAAATCCAGCTTAAAGCAGCCTAGGCTGGTTGGCTGGTTTTAGCTGGTCGACCAGGCTGGTTTTAGAGGGGTTTTGGCCATTTCCAGGCTGGTTTCCAGCCATTTCCAGCCTGGTCTTAGCTGGTTAGGCTGGAAGATGACCAGCTAAAACCAGCTTGACCAGTCTAGCCAAGCTGGGAGTCCAGCCAAAAGCAGCTATATCCAGCTTAAACCAGGCTGGTCAAGCTGGTTTTAGCTGGATTTGGCTGGTCATTTTCCAGCCTGACCATTTAAGACCAGCCTGGAAACGGCCAAAACCCCTCTAAAACCAGGCTGGTCAACCAGCTAAAACCAGCCAACCAGCCTAGGCTGGTTTAAGCTGGATTTTTTAGCAGGGTTTGGAACCATTGGAAAGTAAACAGAGTAAATGTTCATTGTTGGACTATCCATTTAAGTTTACCAGTTTGCGAACTTAAGCAGCATGTCTGTGATATACATGTCAACATGTTGGGCGACACAAATATAGGGATTTAGAGTGCAGATGGCAGCCATGTGTGTGTGTGCGCGCGCGCGCGTGTGAGAGAGAACATTCAGAGTACTATCATTCTGAGTAAGACCTGTTGCTGTTTATTTTTTATTATTTTCTAAATTGCAATATAAAAATGCATTTTGTAAGTGTGTCGAACACTTAGTCTCATTTCTAAAACACCACTGGGTTAGCAGAAGTCCAAATGGAGCAGGATGGTAGTCAAAACATGCTGTTGATTGGAGAAATCCTTCCCTTAACTGTTTTCAATAAAGAATGATTTGTAACATTGCTAATAGTTTGCTTATTTAACATCTAACATGTCACCAGCCCACATGCGGGGGACATTATTCAGTATTTATTTCTTTTGTCTAAACTTGATCTCATCTTAACAACCTATATATACAGTTGAATTCAGAATTATTAGCCCCCCTGTATATTTTTTTCCCCCAATTTCTTATTAACGTAGAGCAGATTTTTTCAGCACATTTCTAATCATAATAGTTTTAATAACTCATCTCTAATAACTGATTTATTTTGTCTTTGCCATGATGACAGTAAATAGTATTTACTAGATGTTTTTCAAGACACTTCAGCTGAAAGTGACGTTAAAGGCTTAACTAGGTTAATTAGGTTAACTAGGTGATTAGGCTGGTTATTGTATAACGATGGTTTGTTCTGTAGACTATTGAATAGAAATATAGCTTAAAGGGGCTAATCATTTTGTCATTAAAATGGTTTATAAAAAATTTAAAACTGCTTTTATTCTAGCCGAAATAAAACAAATAAGACTTTCTCCAGAAGAAAAAATATTATCAGACATACTGTGAAAATTTCCTTGCTCTGTTAAACATCATTTGGGAAATATTTAAAAAAAGAAAGAAAAAAAAAATCAAAGGGGGGGCTAATAATTCTGACCAATTGTGTGTGTGTGTGTGTGTGTGTGTGTGTATGTATGTATATATATATATATATGTATGTGTGTGTGTGTGTATGTATGTATATATATATATATATATATATATATATGTGTGTGTGTGTGTGTGTGTGTGTGTATGTATGTATATACATATATGTGTGTGTGTGTATGTATGTATGTATGTATATATATATATATATATATATATATATATATATATATATATATATATATATACACACACACACAAATATATATGTGGGGACACGTCCCCTCTGTCCATGCCAAATCTCTTCTTGAGTGTGCGTTCACCTTTAGGGAAGCGTTCTCTGGAAATCTCCTAAATCAGACCTCAGATCAGACTATTTGGTTTCTCAAGCCAAAATAAAACGGTTGACAGAAAGCAGTTGTGGTCAGCCTGGGATGTCTTGTAATCCAGTGGTTGTGAGTGGACTAATGTCTTGACATTTCAACAGATCTATTTCAGCAGTTTTAACTGAACTACATGAGCTGCTTGTACACACATACTTGCTCAAAGCCTACCAAGCGATCTTGCCAAGCGGCAGTTTGACCCTCTAAGGCAGGGGTCACCAATCTCGGTCCTGGAGAGCCGACGTCCCTGCAGGGTTTTGCTCCAACTTGCCTCAACACACCTGCCTGGGTGTTTCAAGTATACCAAGTAAGAGCTTGATTAGCCGTGTTAGATTGGGATTGGAGCTAAAATCTGCTGGACACAGGCCCTAAAGGAGCTAGTTTGGTGAACATTGCCCTAAGGCTTGTTTAACATCTTTCTTGTAATACAGATAATTGTATCTGTATGTAGCCTACACCAATAGTTCCCAACCTTTTTTTTTTGTGCCTGTGACCCCCTTTCCCCCGGAAAATACAGTAAGGCCCCCCTCCACATACCCCTTATATAAGTTTCAGTAGGTATGACAAAAAAAGTTTGTTTTCAAACAAACCTTATGTTTATTACTATATCTAGATATGTTTATGCACAAATAATAGCACCTTGCGGTATTGGGGATGAGTCGTCTGCAAATATCTTATTCATTTGGACAGCCTCATGCATTCATCAGCAAGAGCTTTGGCACAGGTAATGCACTGTGGCTAAGTCAGGGACATTTTGCTCCGTGAGAATGAAGTAACCCCATAGTTCAGCTAACTATCTTTGTATTTCCTGCATTTCGTGTTTATTGCTAGTATTGCTAGTGCTGTGACCCGAAATGTTTGGAGCTTCATCCCCATGGGTCCAGTCAAGCGGCAACCTCCCGCTCTCCCTCAGGAAGCCAATACGGAAGTAACTAAAACTGCAATTCATCCGAAATTCCGCTAGTCCTGGCCGCTCCTGGCTCCAAAACAGAGCAAATTTCAATTGAGCCCACTGTTAGAATGGCCAACTTTACAGCAGAAAAAAAGGTGTTTACAGCCTGATACAAAAAAGATTTTGGTTAATACAGCTAATATTACCCTTCATGACAACTGTGAGGGGGGGAATTTTTTTATAAATCATCCGTTTCCTTTATATTAAATTATATTAAGTTTGCATAATTAAGGGAGTGGCCACTTGAGTGACAGCTAGGTCTCGCTGCTCGCCAACACGTCACCTGAATCCTGCAGATTAGCCACTGAACTCGGCATATTTATCGTATTTCTGTGTTGTTTTATGTGGCTTTACACAGTCAACTGCCTTTTGCACTTGTTTCCTACAATTATCAGATGATATGGGATGCAGTGTGCACTTAATTGTGCTCCCAAACCATTCACGTGGCCTCCATTTCCCATGTGAGTAAAGTTATATACTTATACACCATCTCTATACATGTATTTGTTTTATTTAAGATCATTTATCGTTAATATTTATATTTAGAGCTGTAATGCACTCCAGAATCTGTCAGATTGATTAGCTGTAGGCTCTAGATCAGTCATCTGAAGTGTTGTCATACAGTGTTATGCTGGAGTTCATCAATAGTCCTGCATTTACTAACACAGACTATATCTGAAGTGTTTGGAAGTAATTCGCATTTTCCTCCTGTTGGAAAACCTCATAAGAACAATACTTAGTGGCTCAATGTGTTACAGCAGTGTTTTTAAAAGTCTAAACACTTTATTGATATAGTGTACAGCCCAGCACAAGTGGTCAAAACACAAACGAGTCGCAGGTAATAAAGTATTAAGCATTTCTCCCAAAGTAAAGTGTGTCTGAACCAGGTCTAAGCTAAATTCCAGCAGGTGTCTGTTGCTCCGCTCACTCTCCGCCTCTTTGCCCTTGTTTGGTATCCCGCCGTGGGTGCGATGACGCGCGAACAAAATGGCGACGGTTGGCCACACCTACTTGTGGCTTCTTTTCCGCTCTTTAGAAACTTATGGGTGATGTCACGGACACTACATCCATATATTTTACAGTCTATGGGTCCAGTATGCTTGGGTCATTACTATTAGCTGCTGAAGGCGAATCAGAGAAATTTTTTTTTTGTTGAGGGCAAGTTACAAATTTGTCCATTTTTTGGTCAGTCAGGGGATAACATGAACTAAGGCAACATGATTGTTTTCCTCATTGTCCACTGCTAATTTTTTTTAATATGAAGCGACCCCCCCTCCCCCAGAGAGCTTGCTGAGGCCCCCTTGTGAGCCGGGACCCCCCCTGTTGGTACCGCAGGCCTAAACATTCTGTAAAGTCAGACATCTAAAGTCATTATGTGCATTAAAATAAAGTGAGACCAAACAAATATTTTATAAAAGGACATCAGTGTAAATGGTCAAGAACTCACGCTCACACACTGCTGATAGTTAATAACTTTATTGAAAGCATCAAGCTCTTAGTACAGATATATTTAGCACATCTTGACCAAGGAAATAGCAAGAGAATTGGAACGGCAAAGTTTCCCCTTCCCAACTTCCTGTGAGAAATCCCACAACCCTTTCTAAAGGGTTTCCTCACCAACCTACACAGGCTGGGGAATAACTAGTCGAAATAGAAAACAAGAAAATCCAAATCATCTGAAGGAGGGAAAAAAAATAAATAGAATTAAACAGTTAAACTCAGAGCGGGTCAGAAAAGGAGGGGAAGAGTTGGTCCGCAACATCAATGTTTCCCCCTCAGCTCTATACGAGCCGGTGTAGAAGATCTGAAAAGGCTTGAAATTACCAACCATTCACTGAAAAAGTGCCAGCTGTGATCTAGATATGATCATGCTTGTGATTTCTCCTAGCAGCGGTTTACATCCAATCGTTAAAACTGCCTACAGTAAACATCCGTCAACCGTACTAGACATTCATTAAAGGCTTTCTCTGGGGGAAAACCACGTTTAGGAAGAGATTTCAGCAACCAAACAGGAGACAAAACAGAAACATCATCCCCCCTCACAGCCTAACCAGCAACACAGGGAGGGAGAAAATGAAAGCAGCACGGCCATCAGATTGTCACACGACAGAAAATGAACGTTACCTAGGGGCCGAAGCAGAGACAGCGCACGGTAAACATCCTGCTGTGTGCTAGTTGCATGCAATAGCAAATGGGGGAAAATGTTGGATGATCTCCTTCAATGCACAGAGAGGATCTGGAGAGAAATCCAACAAAAGAGAGAGAGAAATCAAGTAATAAAGCTGCAGGTTATGCAGTGGCGGGGTGTGGAATGATCCGGGTCAGCCCTGACATGCTCAGATCAGTGTGTCTATTGTGTGCTTCTGCGGAGAGAGAGAGAGAAACTCTTTGTTTAGAAAAAGGAAAATGCTTTGCTGTGCGATCGGCTCACGAAAGCAAAGTGTCTGTCCAACCGTTTCAATTGAGAGGTGTCAGGCCCGGGGTCCTTCACAATGACTGAAACTAACCTAATGGCTTCTTCTGAAGCGGCTTCATTATTCAGAAAAATCCAGCTCTGCTTCTTTTATGAACACTTTCAACCAGCCGATCCCTTTGTCTTCTGTTTATACACTCAAAATAAAGGCCATTTTAGCAATGGAGGGAAGGAAGACGATGCTGGATTTCACCATGATGGTTGCGTATCGCTGATTACACTAAAGGGATCCTTCACCCAAAGATGAACTCACTGCTTACTCGCGTATTAGAAGCCTTTGAGCGTCTTCTGTTGAACACAAATAAAGATATTTTGAAGAATGCTGAAAACCTTTACTACTGAATTCTATAGTATAGGTTTTCCAACAATGGAATTCGATAGTTAAAAGTTTTCAGCATTCTTCAAACTATCTTCTTTTGTGTTCAACAGATTAAAGTTACTCGAGGTTTATAACAAATGAAGAGACCGAATTTAGAGGTGAACTGTCTCTTTAGGATTGTCTTCTGAAATATTGACTTCGAGTTTCATTTCTTCATAGGAATGGAAATTAACCGGCATGTTTTGTGTAAGGTTCACCATCAAACTACCGTTGTACTTAAACACGAACTGCATTTTTATACTAACCAATATTATTTCAGCAAAACTGTAGGTCACATGTAGGTCACTTTCAAGACTTTCGCTTCTCTAGAGCACTTAAAGAGACAGTTCTGCAAAAAACAAAAGTTCAGTCATCATTTGCTTCAAACCCCTGTACACTTTCTTCTGTCAAACATAAAGGAAGATATTTCGAAGAATGCTGAAAACCTATACAATGGACATCAATGGTTACAGCTTTCTACAAACTATCTTCTTTTGTGTTCAACAGATGAAAGATGCTCAAGGTTTGTAAGAAATGAAGATTAGATGACAGAATTTAGAGGTGAACTGTCTCTTTAAGGCCATCATCTGAAATATTGACTTTAGTATTCTGACTAAACCTGATGAAGATTATCAGATGAGAAAGGAGCGAGTTTCATTTCTTCACACAGGAATGGAAGTAGTGTAAGGTTAACCATCGAATTACCATTTTACTTAAACAAGAGCTGCATTTTTTTCAGTAACCAATATTATTTCACCAAAACTGTAGGTCACATGTAGGTCACTTTCAAGACATTTACTTCTCTAGAGCACTTAAAGAGACAGTTCTGCAAAAAAACGAAAGTTCAGTCATCATTTTTTCACCTGCTTCTAACCCCTAAACATTGTCTTCTGTCAAACACAAAAGTAGATATTTCGAAGAATGCTGAAAACCTATACTATAGACGTCAATGGTTTCCAGCTTTCTTCAAACTATCTTCTTTCGTGTTCAACAGATGGTTTGTAACAAATGAGTAAATGACAGAATTTAGAGGTGAACTGTGCCTTTAAGGCTGTCATCTGACATATTGACTTCAGTATTCTGACTAAACCTGATGGAGATTATCAGATGAGAAAGGAGCGAGTTTCATTTCTTCATAGGAATGGAAATTAACCGGCATGTTTAGTGTAAGGTTCACCATCAAACTACCGTTTTACTTAAACAAGAACTGCATTTTTTCAGTAACCAATATTATTTTACCAAAACTGTAGGTCACATGTAGGTCACTTTCAGGACATTCACTTCTCTAGTGCACTTAAAGAGACAGTTCTGCAAAAAACGAAAATGCAGTCATCTTTTGCTTCAAATCCCTACACACTTCTGTCAAACACAAAGGAAGATATTTTGAAGAATGCTGAAAACCTATACAATGGACATCAATGGTTACAGCTGTCTACAAACTATCTTCTTTTGTGTTCAACATATTAAAGATGCTCAAGGTTTGTAACAAATGAAGAGACAGAATTTAGAGGTGAACTGTCTCTTTAAGGCTTCATCTGAAATATTGTCTTCAGTATTCTGACTAAAGCTGATGAAGATTATCAGATGAGAAAGGAGCAAGTTTCATTTCTTCACAGGAATGGAAATTAACCAGCTTGTTTAGTGTAAGTTTAACTATTGATCTACCGTTTTACTTAAACAAGAGCTGCATTTTTAAAAACTGTAGGTCACATGAAGGTTACTTTCAGGACATTCACTTCTCTGGTGCACTTTAATAGACAGTTCTGCTAAAAACGTTCAATCCTCATTTGCTTGAAACACCTATACATTTCTTCGGTTAAACACAAAGTAAGATATTTAAAAAAAGATGTTTTGAAGAATGTTGAAAACCTGTAGCTATTTATTTCCATAAACACTATGGGAGTCAATGGTTGCAGGTGCAACCATCGACTTCCATAGTGTTTATGGAAGTAAATAGCTACAGGTTTTCAACATTCTTCAAAATATCTTTAGGTGTTCAACAGAAGAAATAAAACTCATAAAGGTTTGGAAACATTTAAGAGTGACTTAATGTTCATTTTTGGGTGAACTACCCCTTAATAGACAGATTACAGTCTATAAGGCTTAACTAGGTTTGTTTTCAGGAAAGCTAGCTACACACACACACTCATCAGCACTTTGATAATTCAGTCACATGAATGAAACCGACGGGAAGTGAAGCACCCAAACAATCAAGATCTGAGCATGTCAGGGTCCTGGCCTAGTGAGGTCTGAAACCCTGTCTGTGGGGGATACGAGGACACACTTGCAGGAAGGGAAGGGAGCGTTGCATGTATCGAGACGGTGTGACATGCCTGGCGCACACCGCCGCGCTCGAGAACTCTACATGCACTTCAAGATCACAGCAAGAATGGGCTAGAATATCTACGGAGACACGAGAAGAGCTTTCATGCACAGTATTATTATCTACGTCATAGGTACAAGAATGCATAAATGTTAAACTCAGGGAAGATCTACAGCCAGAAGACTCCACGCAGGAGAAACGCCCCTGCGCTACAAGACTACGCCGGCCGCCGCCGCGGAGTCGCTCCTCGCAGCAGCAGCAGGATTTCTTTTTACGCTTCTTCATGTCAGAGGATCAGCTCTGCTTCTGCTGGAGACTCTTGGCGTAACTGGTGAAGACGAAGTTGTAGTCGTTGAAGTGGGCCAACTGGCGGTCCAGCAGGCGGTAACTCTCCAGCTTCTGGGCGGAGGAGAAAACGCTGCGACATTTGGAGCTCTGTTGGGGAGGAGAGGGAGTTACGCCTGGTTTCCACGGAGCAATGCAGTAGTGCTTAATTCTGTACGGGTCATCCTGATCAGGCTAGTGTTTACACTGCCAGCAGGACCATTATAGTAGAGGTGGTGTACGCTAAATGTTGCGATCAAAATCACTAGCTTTGTTTTACAGCTGCACGATTGATTGAAAAAAAGATTGTGATCTCGATTTAACCCCCTAGTCCACGGCTAGTCAATTGGCAGGCCGAACCTGGCCCCCGAGGCTATTTGTTCTGGCCCCCCAAATAGTGTGACCAAGACATCAATAAGGGTGTCACGATCCTCCAAATCCTCGATTCGGTTATGAATAATTAATTAATTAATGACCAATTAATTATTAGTAGCCTACCATTTAAACTACCTGACCTGCATGGTCTTTGTTTTACCCATAAACAAATCATACAGTAAATGAATAAAGGCAAGATACACACATAATTACCACCTGTCAATCACTTTTTCTGCGGGACTCGTGAATATCAGTGATCTGTGTCGTTATAATGGCGTCGGTAAAAAAGACGCACAACCAACAGGAACCAGCCAACAGTATCTGAGGTGTTCGCTAAAATGACAAAGTACAAGTGAGTGAAAGATTGAAGCAGTCCTCTGACTGCCTGGACCTGCTGTCTCGAGCGCATGGCTGTGTGTGCGTCTGTGTCTGTGTGGTCACGTGATGTGCATTTTCAGAGGTAGAGAGGAAGGAGGGCTGCTCAGAAATGCTACACGCCACTGTGGATGTCAAATCGTTGTCGTTCTAAAATGCCATTTAAAAACAAAGACAAAGACAGTGTAAACAGGGCCTGAGTGTGAACTTTTCGCGAGCGGATTTGCAACGGAGGCAGGCGGAGGATCGCGATGCCGGTGTTGTCTATCAGACGAACCGTACGTAATACGTACATAGCAGAGCTTGCAAAACTGTGTTTTTTTGTCGACAACACGAACGTTGTCAACATAACTCACTGGAAATCCAAAATGCTTCCACACCGGCGACTTCATTGAAAGAGGAGAGGGTTTAAGCTCTGTCGACGGGTCTCCTGCGTCTGCAGTTTAACAAGCACTTCAACAAGCCTGTTTTTTTCCCGCTTGACAAGCCAAGCTGACGTGACATGGGGGCGTGGCAGCATCTACGATTCTATTTTTTGATTCGATAATCAAAATTGAGCATAAATTTCGATCGATTTCGATTAAAAATCTAAATCGTGACACCCCTAGACATCAAAAATAAATTTAGTTTAGTCGAAAAGCGTCCCCTATAGTTCTGAAGTGACGTGCATCTGTTCAATACAGCACGAGCTGCAGTTGAAGGCTGCGCAGAGCGCGAGTCACCTGACATTAAGCGAGTGGCGCGAGCAGCAGAAAACATTTACAGGGTTCTTACACCTTTTCCAACTTCAAATTCCAGCACTTTCAAACGTGCATTTTTATGCTTTTCCAGCACCTAACAACTACGGTAAATTACATTTATATATGCTGTATGTACTTTTTCACATTTAAATCCATTGTGCTAATTAAAAAAAAACAATATGACATCTCAACTTAAATTGTGGAATACTTTGGAACTTAAATTTATTGAGATAGTTCACCCAATAAGGGTAAAATGGGCCGTTATTTGTAACTTTAGGTGGTTTCTAAAATAAAATCTGTCAGTGTTATTTTCATTCTCTCGTTCCCAGACCTTTACATTTGTGGCTGTAGCTCCCTGTCATTTGAAGGAAGGCATTGGCTGAGTGATTGACAGCTGATATTAAATAATTCATGCGCATTCAGTTCAAGAGCAGAGGGCCAATCAGGAGAGCTTTAAGGCGGAGCAGGCATTGCAGGCTTTGTTTGCAAGTTGAAATGCCGACTGTTTTAAACTATTTCCGAGCGCTGTTTCGCATTTTTAGGTGCAATTTTGCGTGAATGTCGTCTTAAATATGTGCATGCAGTGAACATATTGCAAAAAAACTGGTCCCAAAGCAACAATTTTATACACACTCACAAAAATTGAGCTCGCGTAGATCATATATATATATATATATATTCCTTGATGCACCGCGAGAGAATTCATGAATGGGAGTGAAGCGATGCAACTGAAGCGGATAGGTCACGTGATCATGACAAAATGGTGGATGTAGTACGTCTGAGTTTCTTTCATACTGCTCACATTCATACTGTATAGAGCGTAGTTTTCTAACGGCTGAGTACGTTTAAATTAATATGCAGTACCTACTGAGGAGTAGGCGGTTTCGGACGCAGCCGATGCCTCCTTTGTCAAACCCATTACAGGTGTTTCAGTCTCTGCTAGTGAGCTGATGATCTGAATTAGGAGTTTTTGGTTTAGGAGACATGGAAAATGTGCTGAGCTGGTGGTCCTCCAAGAACGTGGTTGAGGCGCACTGCTTTAGTCAACATAACCTAGCTAAATTTGCATATGGCATGTCTGTTTAGCGGAGACGTATTCATGTGGTCAAATGTACTTAAACCTGGCCCTATATTGAAGCTGTGCAATGATGTACCTGGTTGACGAAAAGCGTAGTCACAAATTTCCCTGGTTTGAAGACGTCCACGACTCTGCAGATCAGCTCATCGTAGGACGTCTGGGAGAGGTTGGTTTCAAAGCTGACATAGGAGAACTCTGGTTCAGGGGTGATGTGAATCGTCCAGTAAGTTCCCTGAAGAGAAGCCGTCTTAATTAAGCAGGAACTTTAGATAACATGTCTCTAACAGTCTAAGCAGGCGGCACCCTTACATCTGTTTTCATTCCATTCATGGAGTATCCACAAGGGTTGAACATCGTGGCATCAATCACTGAACCTGGAATCAGGTCACGAATTCCACTCATCTGGAGAGACGGCACAGGTCACGGGAAACAATGTTAGAAACAATACATTCAGATGGAGATTTTCATCATCAATGTTAGGTCAGATACTTATATCACTTAGAAATTCATTAACCAGTTACACTCCGCGGTTTCGTTTAAAAGTGTAGAATATATATGTTATGCACATGTGCATCATTTTGGTTTTTATTCTACTGCAAAAAAGTTATTTACACTCAAATACACAGTGTTTTGGAGACCCGAGCTGGGTATTTAACATTGGTTCATTTTCATATTTTTTTATATGACATGTACAAGTTATAGCTCAAATGAAAGCTCTTGCCGGTGCTCATACGGTTCTAGTATTTGTTTTACTGAATTATATTCACATATCAAACAGCTGCCGAATGAATCGCGGTGTTTCCATAGCGTTGAAGTGACAACAATACATTCATGATCACTAAGCAGCCCCAGATAGCACAGACAGCTGTCATCTCTTACCTTATGCTGTGTGCTTCAGGGTCATTTCTCTTCTGTTTTTGAGGTGATGTGCATAAGTAATCCTTTTATATGTCTGACGTGGTTCAAACACAGTGAATTATGTTTGATCAAACAAAAGAATAGTGAAATATGAAAACAATGATCGCTCCCTGTGTCTTGTACAGCACCTCTCATCAGTTGGAATACAATAACTTTTGCATAGATTATGGTGGAGACATTTGTCTTTTTTCTTATGATTACAGACATGTGCAGGAACCACCAAAATTAATTACAGCATGCTAGAGCGCACAGAACCTAAAAGGTACACTTTCAAATTTGAGTTCATAAAAAAACAAAAAAATACAAAAAGTGCCTCTTTTTTAGGTGTTTATTATTACACAGACGACATATACAGTTATTTTAAACACTTTCAATAGTGTTTTATGAAAATTTAAAGGGTTTTCTTTAAAATGATACCATTTTTTGCATTTACCCCTCTGCATGTGGATTTGGGAAGCTTTTAAATTTAGGTAGGCAAAATCCAGGCGGAAATCCCAAAATAACAGCAGAGTTTAAGAGGTTAAAGTGGTATGTAAATTACTTTCCTAATTAGGGCTGCATGATACTGGGATGCCATGTTGCTCTTAAGTGTTGTGATAACGATACTGATCTTACAATATAACTAACTTGCTTAATGCTATTTTATCAACAATTTAAATGAATATATATTCATGTTAAGATCATAAAATATACATATATTATGTATAATAAACACGTAATAGTTTTATAAATTTAATTAGCGCAGAAAAGTGTCAAGGTGCAAATATTTAGACTTTAAAACACCAATGACTGAATACCTCAGCAGAAAATCAGATTTTATTGTTTATTTTTTAGCTCTAGATTCAGATAACAGCACCTGGAGAGGTGAGGTAAAGATCTCATCTGATTGGTCAGATTTGGATAAACATTAAAAATAATTCATCACACTTCTCTGCGATATGCATATCACATATACTATTATCGCGTAACTATTACTCAATAGGCAATTGAATTAAGTATTAATTTAACACAACTTTAAATCATTATAAATCTCAAAGCATATTAAATGCAAATTAAACTTGTTTAAAATTCGTCAAGCAGGGCCTTTTAGCTTTATTAAAAAAATGTGAAACGCAAAACATGAAACGTTTAAAATAATAATGACACCATATAAGTTTATGCGAATAGATCTGAATTTAAAAAATCTGAACGGATTTATACAGAACAGTTGAATTAATGTAGCTTTGTAGGCAAGTTTATTTTAGTAATTTAAACTAATGAAATGACCCAAAGTATTTTCAGCGGTCTTCAGTTTTGAAACTCAAGCAGGTTTGGAACAAGTGAAGGGAGAGTAAATGACTGGGTGAAAGGTACATACACGAGTGACATCATTAGCAGAAACACCGTCTTTCATGTAGAACTGGTCCATCACAGCTGGGTCGAGGTCACTCATCAGAACTTCTAGTGTCTGGTCCGCCTGCTTATTCTCCCAGAACTCCGGCAGCTCCAGCGTAAACAAATACCTGCAGCACAGAGACCAACACAGCCTTAATCGATACTCAAGTTTTAAAAACGTCCATTTCCTGCTGACATTTGAGTGCTGTTGAGCACGTTCCTGAACAGCGCTGATTTGCTATTGTGTTGACGTGCTCAACAGAAATGACTGTGATTGGCCATGAAGCTCATCAGTTCACCGAACTCATCGCTGTTACAGTGTAACCACAGATACAGGAACACTAGAGCGTTTTAAAGCCGTGATTCATCAGCAGATCGCTCGTATGTTAGCTTATAGACAAACCAGCTGATCGACGTGACTTTAAAATGCTCCAGTGTCCCTTTATCTGTGGTTACAATCAGTAAACAGCGATGAGTTTGGTGAACTGATGAGCTTCACAGCCAATCACAGTCATTTCTGTTGAACATGTGAACACAATAGCAAATCAGCGCTGTTTAGTGAGAAATGATCGTTTTAAAAACGTCAGTATTGATTGGTACCGATTTCCAGTATCGTGACAACCCTACCTCAACCTCAAATACACATCCAATTGAATATTACGATTTCAAAAACCGTTACTGTACCTCAATTTGCATACCATCCCTCCTAAATAGTAGTTGGAAAATAGAATTTGAATGTCCCAAATCACAGTATGTTGAAATGAGCATCCAAAACCTACCCGGATACTCTACTGTTTTGGGTAGAAATTAGAAGGGCAGATATGAGTGTACGTTAACAGCTAATACTACCCAGAATACATTGAGTGTTGAATATAAATTCAGTTAGAATTCATAGATTATAGTTAACCTAATTGAAAATATTTAAATCACATTTTCTTCTTTATACTACGTCCTAAAAGTATAAAGAAAAAACACATACTTTTAAGTGTTTAACAGAAGAACATGCAAGCTTTGGCACATACTACTATGTGAATTGATCCTTCTTTTGCTTGGTTACATTGACTGTCAATCATCTCAATACTACTGCAACTCTCTACTAGCCGGGCTTCCAGCTAACTCGATCAAACCTCTTCAGCTGCTTCAGAACGCAGCAGCACGAGTGGTCTTTAATGAACCTAAAAGAGCACATGTCACTCCGCTGCTCATCCGTTTGCACTGGCTGCCAGTTGCTGCTCGCATCAAATTCAAAGCTCTGATGTTTGCTTACAAAGCGACTTCTGGCTTTGCTCCTTCTGATCTGCTCTCACTTCTGCAAATGCATGTGCCCTGCAGAAACTTGCGTTCTGTGAATGAACATCGCCTCGTGGTTCCATCCCAAAGAGGGAAGAAATCACTTTACTGAACTCTCGCGTTCAATCTGCCCAGTTGGTGGAATGAACTCCCTAACTGCATCAGAACGGCAGAGTCACTCGCTTTCTTCAAGAAACGACTAAAAACTTAACTATTTACTCTCCACTTCCCTTCCTAATCTGCAATTCCCTCTCTGACCCCTCCACTAACTACATTAATAATAAAAAAAAAATTACTAATGTTTTGCTTCTTACACTTTACATACCTGAAACTTGCCTACAGCACTTATTCATTGTTGCTCTTATAGTTGTGTAAATTGCTTCCTTGTCCTCATTTGTAAGTCGCTTTGGATAAGTGTCTGCTAAATGACTAAATGTAGATGTAAATTATCACGAGTAAGCGAAATCGCATCCCTTGACTGCATCGAGGATCAAAACATGACCTCTCTAGACAGAAATTTAAAATATGGCCCAATCGCTCGCTTTTTTTTTATGTCTAACCATCTTGTTTGACCCCGCCCCTTTCCGCAGCGCCGCATGACAGAATATCGCATGCTCAAACTCTCGTGTGACCGCAGCTTTAGTGTGTTGGAGCAGGGTTGGAACCAAACTGTACAGGGCTGCGGCCCTCCAGGAATTGAGTTTGACATCGCTGCTATTAGCAGATGTAAAATGCCTCACCAGCAGTCTGAGTTCAGACGTCCCATACAGTAGGCTGCTCCATCTGCAGATGAACACAAGAGAAGCTGGTTAGGAAAAAACAAAAACGGGGACAAAAAAACATGCAGTTATTGCAGTCACACTTAGCTGCGTCTCATGATTATGATCACATACTTGGAAAAATCTGGCTGAGGAACTCGACTTCCTCCTGGAAGTTGCGGTGAGGGAACTCTTGATGGGTGGGCTTCATAAAATTTTTGCGAGAATAGAAGAAATTCTGAAAGAAAATAAGGATGATCAAGTCACATTTTCAGAAACCAGCAACTTGTGGCTATTTCATGACTAAGATTAAACCTGTTTTGTAATAGTGCTGGGCGATTAATCTAAGTGAAACCTCAAAAGCGATTGAGCAAAGCTGTGATTGTCATGCACATCTTGTCAGGAAAGCACAGTTCTGTGATGAGAAAGTTCCTCTGAAGGTGCACATGAGCCTGCATAGCACTGCATCATGAACAGAAGATGTAACTGCTTTCATTAGCAGTGATTCCATCCAAGGTGGCAAATTAGACATGCACAAAACTGGAATAGACCATTTTGAGGGATGTAAACAATAACAATGGTCCTAACGTATTTCCTGTTTTAGAGTTGATTTTCATAGCTCCCAATAATCCTAAACAGATTGATAATGTTATGACAGCTGTTTCAATGTTGAGATATGATTGACTTGCCTCTTGTTACAGTTATTAAAACAGTTTGACAACAAGCAAGAAATGTTCATGGGCCAATGGCATCACCACATTGAAATGGTCTATGGCTGTTTCTCAATACGCGTTCCTATTTGTCCTCTTGAAACGTCATCAACCGTCGCCGAAGGACTGTTCCAATTCAAAGTTCACATCTTGTCAAATACAGATAAAATTCCAAGATGTGTACTTGCTCCGCCCCTTTTGCCAAAGATGCTTCGAGAGGTGACTTGTGCAAACTTACAAAGCACAGGTATCCTAGAATGCATTGCAGCGTAACCAGCGAAAGCTAATGACAGAGGAGAAAACCCACACGGTTTTAAAAATACTCCTTTGTTGTGTTGCAAATTTAAGGTTTAGGAGTTTTTCAGGTGAGAATGAAGTTGTTTTAAACTTGGTTATAAAGATAGCGCATATTTGGCGACGTGCCTCAGACTGTCAGCGGAAGCTTCGTCATTACCTCCCCCACCGGGAGCAGCTTCAGCCAGTCCATCACGGATGTACAGCTGGATTGCATCTGTCCATTGTAGTTAAAACATAATATTTAGTACATTGAGCGCATATCTAACGGACAGTTTTTGGTCTTTTAAATCCATTATTTGTTCTCAGGTGTATTATTCTTTCAGTGTTATTTTGTTACCTTTAATAATTGTCTTTAAATATGTTACCGTGTTGTACAAGGTTTGTCTGTTTACCAAATTACTTAACATTATCTTTATTTCTAATTGTGTACGTCTTGTACAGTACGTCCATTGTAGTTTATTAAATTTGATTAAAAAAAAGACAAGAGTCTGTGTATAATAACCAGCGACAAGATGATCCCAAGGTGTCCATATCCTGGACCAGGCCGCATCCTGAGCAGCTGCTGTGGTGGTCATGGAGGAGTGGAGAGCACGAGACTGATTCCTGTGACGCTCCAGAGACAGACAAATTTTCACCGAGGCGAGCTTTGTGCCTCCGCCGCTGAGACTGCAGCTCTGCACAAGACGTTTAGCCAACAGAGAAATTAAAATGATCGTGCCCAACTGAGTCTGGTTTCTGTCAAGGTTTTTTTTTTTTCTTCACTCTCGCCAATTGTTGAAGTTTTTTCCCTCTATGCTGTCGCCACTAGCTTGCATGGTTTGGGATCGGTAGAGCTGCACATCGATGGATTTGCTGCTCAGTGTTTAGGCCTTCAATAGTGACCAAACTAAATAGTGACCAAACAGTGTGAATAAACCAGACTGAACTGAGCTGAACTTAAACACTAAATACTGAACTACACTGTTCCAATTTACCATGATCTTTTATGTGAAGCTGCTTTGACGCAATCTACATTGTAAAAGCGCTACACAAATAAAGGTGAAAGGTGAATAACCCATTTCACTCCACATTTAAGTGACATATATACGTTTACAATTTTTTTAATCAAAAATATAGATTTATAATATTATTATATTATTAATTATAAGACCGTGCTTTATGTAATTAATGATTTTATTGTTAGTGTACAGTGAAACCGATGAATCCATGATGAGGTGTGTGACGTTATAAAAGTACACAGCCGTTTCATTCCACAAGTACCCGACTTGTGTCCTCGCGTCCTTGGTAGTTCGTTCTTCGAAGTCTGAACTTGGCACTTCCGAGTCCGAACTTTACGTACTTGATATTGAGAGACCGCCTTTCTCAACAACATAAACAAACAACACTTCAGATGTTTTACAATGTGCTAGAAACATGTCTGCAAAGTACATACACCTTTTGAACTCAAAACACATGACTTTTTTGATGCACATGCTGAAATGTATGCCATGATCCAAATTGTACATAAACATCAGTGGATGGAAAGATGGCTACTGGTTCACTGAAAATAAACACACATGACTACAAAACCATCCCACAGAAGGAATCATTTCAGACACTCGACTGCAGTTCTAAAGTGAGTTTGTAGTAAAAGCACATTAATATATTTGGTCTTTCACATGCAGCATTTACCACAGAGCTGTAGTTCACTGAGAAGCTGCAAACACTTACTTGCTGTCATTATCACAGAATGCTTATCTATATGTCATTATGGACTGATTAAATTATCTGTGATTAAAAATGCAATTTCAGTAGCTTATCAGTGAACTATGACTCTCCTGTAGTAAAGCTGCAGGAGGATTACTAGTTACTTTCCTCGATTAATCACCCAGCACTATTTTGTAATAACACAGTAGCAACAATGAATGATCTATAAATAATGGCATCATGCAAACTATAGTTCGTAACTCTCTACAGTGTGATCGTTATAAAACACATGACCTCATAAAGGTGATGTGTTGCTGTCAGAGCTTCTAAAGTATGTGTCTGGTACCTCGATGGCATCAAAGCCGCAGTACTCGCGAGCCAGCTCCAGCAGTGGCACCAGTGCCTGCAGTAAGAGGGTGGTTCCGCATGTCTTCAAAATGAAACGTCTCTTGGAGACAAACATGCTACTCTCACTGACAGACACAAACACACAAGCAGAAAGGGTTAATCTCTCCCATCATCAATGCTGTTAAATGTTAAAGTCACACAGAACATGAATATTTATGAACCCGAACACAACATTTCTTCCTTTACACGGGAATATTTTTGACATTACATTGTGTGGGTCAAAATTATTTTTATTTTAAGCCAAGCATAATAGGAATATTTAAGTTGGCATTAAATCTAAATGTTCCTGTATATAGTAGTGCTTGTTATAAGGGATGTTTCTGTGCACTTCATTATTTTGTCAAAATTAATTTGCCCCTATAATCTTTCATTCAAAAAGCATAACCTTCCCTCCCCTCTCAAAAACAACGTTTCTACACTTCTGGTCACATGGAATACATTTAAGGCAGGGCTATTAATCATTTAGGGAGGGGCTATCAGTTCTTTGGGGTGGGGCTATCAATCATTTAGGGAGGGGCTATCAGTCCTTTGGGGTGGGGCTATCAATCATTACGGGAGGGGCAATCAATCATTAAGGGAAGAGCCATCAGCCCTTTAGGAAGAGGCTATCAGTCATTTAGAGCGGGGCTATCAGTTCTTTAGGGTGGAGGTATTAGTCCTTTAAGGTGGGGCTATCAGTCAGTTAGGGCGGGGCAATCATTCATTTAGGGTGGGGCAATTAGTCCTTTAGAGCGGGGCTATCAGTCCTTTGGGGTGGGGTTATCAGTCATTTAGGGCAGGGCTATCAGTTCTTTAGGGTGGAGGTATTAGTCCTTTAAGGCAGGGGTTCCCAAACTTTTCAGCCCGCGACCCCAAAAATAATCATATCAGTGGCTCGCGACCCCCATTTTTCAAGGTGGTTGTACTGTAAATATGTAAACGTTGCAGACACAACTATAGGCAAATATAAACATGAGCTTATTTACAACACAAAAATGCAACAGTCTATTAGCCATATAATGTTTTTTAAAGTCATTTATGGATTTAATTACATTTTGCTTTTAAAACCAAAGGCTGATGGCTGATTGTTATTTTTATGTTGTTGTTTCTTTAATGCAACTATTAACTATATTCTGTCAGTTATGAATAAAATATGGTAATTCTAATAGTTTCATAAAATTTATTTGAGTTTTGGATATCACCAAGCGACCCCTTGTCATTGTCCCGCGACCCCCCAGGGGGTCCCGACCCCCACTTTGAGAACCACTGCTTTAAGGTGGGGCTATCAATCAGTTAGGGTGGGGCAATCGTTCATTTAGGGTGGGGCTATCAGTCCTTCAGAGCGGGGCTAACAGTCATTTACGGCAGAGCTATCAATCCTTTAGGAGGGGTTATCAGTCATTTAGGGCAGGGCTATTAGTCCTTTAGGGCGGGGCTATCAATCCTTTAGGGCGGGGCTATCAGTCATTTACGGCAGAGCTATCAATCCTTTAGGAGGGGTTATCAGTCCTTTATTACAGACCTATCAATTCCTTTAGGGTGGGGCTATCAATACTTTAGGGAGGGGTTATCAGTCCTTTAGGGTGGGGCTATTACTGCATTTCTTGCTTTTGTCCATTCATAAATCTTCATTTTGTTAGCAACACCCATCTTAAAATGATCCAATCGGCCCCAAGGACGCAATCACGCACCGACCTGCATTTATTTTCTCATTTCAGGGCCGTTTCAATCAGATGTAGGTCCTAACTTCCATGTTGATTTTAAGTAAGGGTTGTTTCATGAAGACTTTGTGTAAATTAACTTTGATAAATATAAGAAATATTTTTAATAAATATAAGAAAACTTCAACTTGTAGAATCTCAGCCAAAACACAGTGAAGGTTATATTAATATTAAGTTTTGTAGACCAGGCTCACATTTATCATATCATTTCATAATGACAAAATCATGATGGTTTTATTTTTCTACCATTTGCTCCCTGTATTAATTTTCTACAACCAATAACAACGATGTGTACACATTTTGAAAAGCAATTCCCTTGAACTTTAAAATAAAAACACTTTTTCATTCAAGGATGACTACAGAAGCCACTGTACGGCATTGTTTTGGTGATCACTTATGTTGATAAAATTAAGTTTAACATTAAATACTATTTTTGGTTTTAATGTTAAGGAATTTTTAGATGCTTCAGCAGCAGTAGAAAACAAAAATACAACATTTGTGTATCACTTAACTTTGACGTGCTCCTACTACATTAGAGCTGTACAACACATCAAAGAATGATCTGCCAAATGTATGCTTTAAAATGCACAGTGGTTTATATTTTTATTATTAATGCTTTTAAACTTTTTTATAATTCTCTGACCTAAAATGACTGCTTTTGTGATGGATTTTCTCATTGCTCATGGCACTGTGTGCTTCAAATCTAGTGTTTTGCAATATTGACTTTCTGATCTGGAAAACCACTGGACTCAAATTCCTGGAGAGACTGATAATATGATTTTTCTTGAAAGCCAAGAGAAACAAATGCCATATTAAAAGTCCTCTGTCTCATTCGTGCTGCATGACTGAAGAGACGGAACATCCGTTCAGCCACACTTTGACGCTTGATTTGCACAAAAGCTATGTGAAACATTACCTGTATAAAATATGCCCTCTCTCTACATAATAATCACTCTGTAAGTGTAATTTGATGCAGAAACCAAGAAGACACTGTGACCCAGGTCAATGCCTATTCGTTGTTTCCAGAAGATAAGAATAGCTTTGAGCTGAACTCTCCCTTTGACCCTTGGTCTCAGACATAATAAAGGGCTTAGCGTAGCGCTTAGCATGAGCGGTTCTCCACAAGCATGACGCTGCGTCTGAATGACTCTCCGCATGACTGTGTGAATGTCACTGATGCCTTTCATGCTGCTCTTATCAGCTCTTCAGTATCTCTCCAGCTGAAGCGCTACTGTGTGCTTATCAGTTGTGACTCTACGCTCATTTAATAGCACATTAGTGAAGTATCAGTGCTGCGGTGTAAACATTCAGTGCCAAGGTTTCATTCTCACGGTGTCCGTCCAGCAGTTAGCCAGGGATATATTTCATTAAGTACTAAGCATTCTCTTAAAGAGGGTCTATTACGCAAAAAATCCGTTTACAAGGGGCTTAAACACAGTTGTGTGGCAATGTAATCCTCTTCTTATGATGCACTTATCATTTTTATTTATATTATTTTATTTATATTATATATATTATATTATTTATTTATATTTATTTTTTTATACAATTGCCTAATAGTTGAATTTATGGAGGTGCATTTTGGAGTGTTTGCATGTTTTTTACAGCATATAATTTATAGAAAGCTTCATTTTGTGGAACCAGTTTTTCCAGTTTATTAAAAAAACAGCAATAAACACACATTTCAACATTTATTTTTATCACTGAAGATTTCTTGAAGTCTAAAAATGTCTCATGTCTAGTCTCGTGGGATACGAGTCCCATCACACCCCTATAAATAGTAGAATTTTCAACGGCCCCTCAATTATATATATATTATTTAACATGCTGATTTTAATTTAAGGTGTTGAGATAGACAGTGGCTTTTAAGAAGCCTGGAGGATTACAGTGGATAGACGTACTGACGAGTCAGTAACTCACCTGAGTATATAAGCTTCCTGCTTATCAGTCTTTGTCACACTTATAATCAAACAATGCACATTCTCCAGAAGTTTGTCCCACTCAAATCTGAAAACACACACAGAAAGAGAAACATTAAAACCTCACTTCCAGCCATTACCAATCATGACTTTAATCATTACCATGTGAATCTGAGAAAGCTACTTAACATGAATATTTACTCCATTTACTCTCTTTCAAGAGGTTCCCAACCTTTTTTTTGTTTGACTCTTAAGATATTTTGAAGAATGTTTGAAACTGGTATCTATTAAAGGAGTCAATGCATAAAAGTTGTACTGTGGCTGGAAAGTGCAAAACAACCTTACAAAGTGTGAAACATTTTTAAAAAGCTCGAGACAAATTTACATTTTGTAAAACATTTTTACCATTCATAAGATACAAATATATAGTAAAAATGATTTTACCAAAAACAAAACAAATTTACAATGACAGATACTTTACGGAAAGGGAATGTACCACACACTGGAAGTGACGCGGTGATATGGTTGTGTAAATTGCTTCCTTGTCCTCATTTGTAAGTCGCTTTGGATAAAAGCGTCTGCTAAATGACTAAATGTAAATGATTAGTGTTGTCGTTGGTGGTAAGTGTGGAAAATTCATGTTGTGGAGTACATGGCGTAAATAAAGTTTATAAATACCAAACATGGACTGCTGTCGAGGGTTGTTTATCCCGTTTTGTGGCAGACATATGAGCAGCTTAACGCGGTTTTGCTTTATGTGGTCGGTGTTTGGAGTTTCTATGGGATGCAGAGCAAATGGAAACACCAGACATTCTGCATCAATGTGTTCAATAATTTGACGAGGGCCACTGGTACGCTGTAATCGTGGACTTGATGTCAAGTCTACATGATGTAAACATCTGCTTGAGGACTCTTAAAAGTACACTGAACGAAGCTGGTGTTACGGTTTGACTGGTGACCCTTTCCAGCTGTAAACTATTCAGGTTTGCAGATTGGCAGCTTTGTCACTTTTTCACAGCAACAAAACACAGACATACCAAATAAATAATATTATTACTTTGTGTCAGTGTCATTGTAAACACTATTGATTTTAACATTTGTGTAGAAGAACAGTACATAACCACAATTAATGTAAAGAAATAATTATAATTGACATGTCATCAACAGGATTCGAACTCAAGTCAAAGGGTTCAGCACGAGTATCAACCGACCCATCTAACTGAGCTATTCAGGATTACACATTGAGGTCGGTTTTGATATCTTTCAGTCAACATTTGCTGTGCTTTGGTTGTGGACTCATGTTAACTTGTTTCCATGTACTCGCATTTACATGTTTCTACATACTCTAATGCTAATATTTTTTCAGAATAGCTCTAAATGGCAAAACAATAGCCCCTTTCACACAGTGATACCGGTAAATATCCGGAAAATTTCCGGAACGACTTTACCGGTATATTCAAAAAAGCGCTGTTCACACAGGCGAGGACGTTACGGAAATTTTCCGGAAAAGAGCATTCACACATCCATTCCAAAACACCGGTAAATTCTGACATCATTCACCACAAATGAGCTTTAAACGGCTGCGCTTGTATTTGTAAACATTTGACTAAATTACAAACTCTGTGGATGATCAATATTGTGAACAACTTTCGCAGGATCACTTTCACATGTCGAGATGTTCATAATATATGCGTGTGCAGGCGCTCATAGGCACACGCAAAGCTTGAATGTTAACAAACAACGGCTTATAAGCATCTCATCGATGATTATTTACACAGTTGGCATTAAGAAGAACATATAAACATTATCTGACTAACTTCTAGCAGCTAAATGTGTCTGGAAAAATATTCAAAGGCTTTTATCCTCACAAACCGCGCGGACGTAAATGCATCTGACTGTTGTGATTGGCTAAAGCAGACGTCTCACGTCAGCACGTTCTAGAAGTGCACGTGCTTATTACGGGAATCTTCCTTCTGCATTCACACAGCGCAGCATTCCTGCAAATTGCCGGTAATGTTACAACTTCTCTTTCCGGAAAATAGCCAGAACGAATTTACCGGTATTTTCAAAAAGGACCTGTATGTGTGAAAGGGGCTAATGTCTTATCGCAGTTGGTCAAACCATGATTTTTAAAGTTGTCGACTCGTGTTAACCTGTGGCTTTGGACTTGTGCTAACCTGTGTCTACAAAGTCACACACAAGCTGATATTTTCCAGTGTGTGGTACGTTCTGTGTCACTTGCAGTGTGTGGTACATTCCATGTCACGTCCGGTGCATGGTACACATTCCATGTCCCATACAGTGTGTGGTACATTTCGCGTCATTGCTGGTGTGTGGTACATTACGTGTCACTTCCGGTGCATCGTACATTCCGCGTCACTTACGATGTGTGTTACATTCCGCGTCACTTCCGGTGTGTGTGGTACATTCCTCATCACTTCCGGTGTGTGTGGTACATTCCGCATCACTTCCGGTGTGTGTGGTACATTCCGCATCACTTCCGGTGTGTGTGGTACATTCCGTGTCACTTCCGGTGTGTGTGGTACATTCCGTGTCACTTCCGGTGTGTGTGGTACATTCCGCATCACTTCCGGTGTGTGTGGTACATTCCGTGTCACTTCCGGTGTGTGTGGTACATTCCGTGTCACTTCCGGTGTGTGTGGTACATTCCGCATCACTTCCGGTGTGTGTGGTACATTCCGCGTCACTTACGATGTGTGTTACATTCCGCGTCACTTCCGGTGTGTGTGGTACATTCCTCATCACTTCCGGTGTGTGTGGTACATTCCGCATCACTTCCGGTGTGTGTGGTACATTCCGCATCACTTCCGGTGTGTGTGGTACATTCCGTGTCACTTCCGGTGTGTGTGGTACATTCCGCATCACTTCCGGTGTGTGTGGTACATTCCGTGTCACTTCCGGTGCATCGTATATTCTGCGTCACTTACGATATGTGGTATATTCCACGTCTCTTCCAGTGTGTGTTAAATTCCCTTTCCGTAAAGAATCTGTCATTGTAAATTTGTTTCGAGAATGGTAAAAAATTTTTGCATCTTGTTAATTTTTTTTCTAAAATGTAAATGTTTCGTCCTTGGTAAAATCGTTTTTTCTATATCATTGTGTCTTATGAGAGGTAAAAATGTTTTTTAAAATGTAAATTTGTCGAGCTTCGTAAAAGTGTTTCACACTTTGTAATGTTGTTTGCACTTCCTGGCCACCGTACGATTGCCAAAATAACTTGTTTTGTGTTTAACAAAAAAAATAGAATGATAGCATAAGTAAATAATGACAGAATTCACATTTTGGGTGAGCTATCCCTTTAATGTTAGACAAAATAACACTTCCTAATCAACAACAGACAATGGCGAAACATTTTCACCAAGCTAAACAAGACATTCAGAGAGAGGATAATGAATAAAAAGTGTTTGCCAAGTTTTATTTTGTTGAACATTAAAATAGCTATTTTGAAGAATGATAGAAACTGGTAACTACTTAACCTAATAGTACGAAATACAAATACTATGGAAGTTAATAATTACAGGTTTACAACATTCTTCAGTCTATCTTACCTTCTGTTCAACAGAGGATAAAATCTCAGGCAGATAATAAAGGAGAGTAAATTGTCATTTTTGGGTGAACAATCCCTTTACTATTAGACAAAATAACACTTTCTAATCATCAGACCAACGGCGAAATGTTTTCACCAAGCCAAAACAAGACATTTGAGGGTAAGCAGAGCAGGGCAGAGTCTCGGAGGTCATTTGCTCGTGTGGCAATGTCAGCGTTCACAGCTGCCCACAGAGCTCTCAGATTACACACGTTAACCACAAGCTTGGATGGCCTGTTTGGTGGAGGGTCTGGCCCTTAAGATCATGAAATAAAAGAAGGGTATTTCTGCCGTTGAAATCTACATTATTACATGGTCTGTTGAAATTCTTGATTCTGATTGGTTGCAAGCCACTAAAAATTGCTTTAAGCAATAAACACATGTAATTCCAGTTAGTTTCTATAACAGTTCAAAACAAATGATAACCATAGCAACTCCGTGACAGTTACCAGAACTTTCAGTCATTCATCTCGAGGACACCAACATGTGCTTCACCAGGAGCTGATGAGGATTAACCAACTCACTAAATAAGCTCCAAAATATTTGCGAAGAAGTAGCGAACACAAGCAAAACAATCATTTATAATGGTAGTGATTTAGTGGGCAGTTTACATTAATCCCATGGAATAAATGCCTAGAGCGGCCTGCTGTGAAAACTAGCCTAGAGCGCCATCTGCTGTTAAGCACTAGCCTAGAGTGCCATCTGCAGTTAAAAAAACTAGCATAGAACGCCATCTGCTGTTAAAAACTAGCCTAGGTCACTGTCTGCTGTTAAAAACTAGTCTAGAGCTCCGCTGCTGATAAAAACTAGCCTAGAGCGCCGTCTGCTGTTAAAACTAACATAGAACGCTGTCTGCAGCCAAAACTAACCTAGAGCACAGTTTACTGTTAAAAACACTAGCCTAGAGCGACGTTTCCTGTTAAAAACTAGCCTAGAGTGATGTCTGCTGTTAAAAAACTAGCCTAGAGCACCATCTGCTGTTAAAAAACTAGCCTAGAGCACCATCTGCTGTTAAAAACTAGCCTAGAGCACCGTCTGCTGTTAAAAACTAGCCTAGAGCACCGTCTGCTGTTAAAAACTAGCCTAGAGCGCCGTCTGCTGTTAAAAACTAGCCTAAAGCCCCGTCTGCTGTTAAAAACTAGCCTAGAGCGCCGTCTGCTGTTAAAAACTAGCCTAGAGCGCCGTCTGCTGTTAAACACTAGCCTAGAGCACCGTCTGCTGTTAAACACTAGCCTAGAGCACCGTCTGCTGTTAAACACTAGCCTAGAGCACCGTCTGCTGTTAAACACTAGCCTAGAGCACCGTCTGCTGTTAAACACTAGCCTAGAGCACCGTCTGCTGTTAAACACTAGTCTAGAGCGCCGTCTGCTGTTAGAAACTAGCCTAGAGCACCGTCTGCTGTTAAACACTAGCCTAGAGCACCGTCTGCTGTTAAAAACTAGCCTAGAGCTCCGTCTGCTGTTAAACACTAGCCTAGAGCA